GGGTGTTACGTAAGTCTGTTCAATAAATTTTTTTAATTGTTTTTTTTTGTAAAACTCCTTTGCCCAATTCTGTTGTAATTTGGCAGTGTTATTTGTAATATTAAGGCGCTATTTTTGCCAAAAATGTACGCCTCTGAGTTTTTATAATTTTTTTTCTATAAATAGTCAAATCATTAGATGACGCTGTATACAATTATAACTATCTCAGTCGGTAATAATATAGAACTACTTTATTTTGGATCCAATATTGGACAAAAAAGTTCGCACGTTACTTTGGTGGTTATTTTGTTAAGAGCAGGGCTGTGTTTAAATTAGAATAAAAAATATTTCTAAAAAGTGTAAAGATCGATGTGTAGTATAAATGTGTTGAAAACAAACAGTCCACTCAAGTCCAATTACTGGTTGGTAAAAAATGTAAATTTCTATTATTGGACAATCCAATATCATACTCCATTTGTATCCCGGACATTTACCAGCCAATTCTTATGTAAAATTGTCCACTGAATCCGAAAAGACCGCCAAAAACTATAAAGTTAAGCAGTTTTTGAGATATAGTCAATTCCATATTATATGTAAAATTGATTCTACTTTTGACGACATATTAGGATTCAGCGAATAATATTTCATAGGAATTGACTGCTAAATGTCCTGGATACAAATTGCTGTTGACGAGCATTATTAGTGGCTGCTTTTTGACATTTTTGACTTATTCATTTTTAGAAAGTAAGTAATATAGTGATTTCTTCGTCACAGGACATCTTGCAGAATAACAGTGATTTAAATACAGTGCATGATAGAGAACATAAAAGACTAATGGCAACAAAATTAATAATTAAAATTAAAATACTTTTAATATACCACCCGAAAAAATATTAGATATATATAAATCATCCTGTTCCGGCCTAAACATAAATGCTTCACAAACTAGAGATTCCACACTAAATGATATTTGCAACAAACTATTTCAGAAGTCAGACCAAGGAATTAGTAGTTACCTTCAGAATCCAGAAAAGGGATGAGGAATCCGAGAAAGAAATATATGAATTATATGATATTTACAAAAACGAAATAAAAAATATTACCTAAAACAGCAATTTATATTTAAAAAATATTTAACAATTTTTGTTATTTAATGTAAAGTTGTTATGTTTATAAAAAAATTGTATGTCCAATAACTATGGTCCATGTGTTTAATTACTATATAAAATGTCCAATTACTATACTTTTTTGCATGTTTTTAGAAAACTTTTATTAAAAATTCAAATATTCTTATTTTTAAGTAAACGTTAATAAAGTTTAAACAAACAAACTATCCTTTTTATATATTTATTCCTTAAGTGTCCAATAACTATGTGGTTTACTATTAAAATATCAAAATTGATCACAGATCTTTTTTCTCAATTATAATTATAATAATAATTATAATTATTTAAAAAATATGGCGAATGCGCCGGGATTAATTACTTAATTCCCTAAAATAATATAATTTTAACAAAAAGAATGAAAAAAACACAAATGCCGTTTAAAGTTTAATATAAAATAAAAAAAATATTATGGGGTGATAAAAATATTCAAAATTACGAAAAATTATAAAAAAAACTTTTTGTAAAATAAAGTTACAAAGGAATTTTGTTAAACCTGTCATAGTTTAATGTATTTCAAAAGTAATACAACAAATTTTGTTTTTTCATATTTTTCGCCATTTTTGTAGAATCTCTAACGTAATCGGCATTTTTTTAAATTGTACTTCCCTCTTTTTTTAAACATTCGAATTGATTATGAAGTTGTACTTCCAGCAATATGCACATATTATACATATTATACATATGTATATTATTGGGCTGATAGTTTTGGAGATATTAATTATTAAAATTAAATTTTTTTCCATATCTATTTTTGCCGGTCATTAAAGCTTTTTGCAAAAATGGCGCATGCACCGGGATTTTTAAATATAATTTTAATCATGTGCATTCGTGGATTAAATAAAACATTTAAAACTTGAGGATATACAAACAACATTTTATTTTAAATTTTATATATTTCTTATGGTTTCTTTACTATTTTTAAACCACAAAACAAAATTATCAAACATATTTTCGACGATTATACAAAACTACGTAAAATAATTATAAGAAATTTGGATATCTTTTTATACGTATACAAAGATACTTTTTTAGTTTTTAGTCAAATTTTCAAAAATATTATAATATAGTATAATTTTTTTTAAATATGTATTCTATTATGTCGCATTTTTAAGAATGTTTTGATCCTTTGATACTTCTTAAAAAACTTAATTTGGAAGTTTTTAAGCTTGGTCCCATCGTGGGCCAACAATTTTTTCGTAAAACGCATAATAAAGAAGTTTTCCCATTGCCAACCCGATCCATGGACACACTGTATATGATATTATGGTTTTCATGAACACAAAATATTTAAAAAAATATTACCTACCTTAAAATGAACAAATGCTTTTTAACAATCTCCTTAATAATAAAATATCTGGCATCCTCAATACTCAACTTATATTCAACCCTATAAGTTTCAGTGTAAACTTCCAAATTAGTCAAGAAATATTGCAAAATCTTAAAAACCATAACGATATAAATATTAAGGGCAATCATAGCCAACTTAACGTAAATTAAAAGCCAATCCGCCATCAAAAAAATTATGTTATTTACCAGAACAAAGTAGATATATTTTTCTGTGTCGAAAAAATACCTCTGGTTGAAAACAGGGGTTGGTTTACCATTTAGAAAGCCACAGTTTAATACAAAGTGTAAGACTGTGTACAAAAAACTCACAACAATTAGAAATTTGCTGATTAAGTTGTGTTGCACTTCGTATTTATTTAATATGTTTATTAAATCTGGATTTTTGCTGCTTTGTATTTTAATTTTGGTTTCATGCATTGTCCTGAAAAACCCTCTACTTATTCTTGAACTTAGTATAAAGCTACTAATCATTATAACTACAAAAAACGTCACAAAACTCATATTATCCATTTTTTCGTTGGTCGTTTTTGTATCCAAAATACCAAGTGCCAAAGTAAAGCAGTTCATCATATAATACACCCTGTATACTACGGAGTAAATCTTCATCAATTTTTTATGACTTTTTTTCTTCAAATCATCCGAATTCACGATACCCATGTAGAAAGATATTTTGTTCAAAATCGGAAACATTTTTGGAGTGATAAATATTGCTGCCAATATTTGATTTATATACTTAGATTAGGATTTAATTTTTAATGGTGTTGTCATTAAGGTTTAATTGTTTAATATGCAGTTTAGTATTATTATCACAGCATAAACATTAGCTGTGTTATTATCTTAATATTAAGTAAATGTTTATTTGGTGGTACATGTAATTATGTTTTAAAGTGATGGTAAATTGAATAAGTACTATAAATTTAATTTGATTTAAAGAAAATTATATTATTAATAATTCATGATTACTGTAGAAAAATTAAACAATATATTTAATAGTTCACGTAAACGTTACAGAAAACAGATACTAGGTATACAGGGTGTCCAGTTTAGAAAAAGATTGAGCAAGTAAAAATAAGACGAAAATCTAAATAAATATTTTTCCTAATTACTTATGTTTTCAAGATACAGGATGATAAAGTGTTATATCATATCAGTTTTTTTAATATAACTTCTACTATGGTAGTCTTGGAAAGGTGATATGTTGCGAACAGTCACTTACTACCAAAACACATATTCACACATAATTACAATTCTTTGAGTGAACACAGTGTCGTAGAAACAGGGGTTGCTTTAAGCTTATTGTCCCATACAAACTTTGAGGTTAGGATTTGTAACATTTGATGCAATTTTTCGATTACACAGTTCGGCTACCATTAAAAAGGTGTACCTCTCAAACTTCGATAAAATAAACCGTTTCCGAGATATTCGAGATTACAATAATTGTTATATCGCATTATTTAAAAGGATTAAAAGGTATATGATAACAAATATTATTTTTAAATTAAAAAAACTAAAAAGGGCATTTCATGAGCCTCGGGACTTTTTGCCCTGACCGTCACATTAAAAAAAATTGTAGTTTTTTCAAATTAAAAAATTTGTTATCATATACCTTTTAGTCCTTTAATGCGATATAACAATTATTGTAATCTCGAATATCTCGGAAACGGTTTATTTTATCGAAGTTTGAGAAGTACACCTTTTTTAAAGACGAACTGAGTAATCGAAAAATTGCATCAAATAGTATAAAACCTAACCTCAAAGTTTGTATAGGACAATAACCTTAAGCAACCCCTGTTTTTACGACACTGTGTTCACTCGAACAATAGTAATTATGTGTGAATATGTGTTTTGGTAGTAAGTGACTGCTCGCAAAATATCACCTTTCCAAGTCTACCATAGTAGAAGTTATATTAAAAAAACTGATATGATAAGTAACACTTTATCACCCTGTATCTTTTAAACATACGTAATTAGGAAAAATATTTATATAGATTTTCGTCTTATTTTGAATTGTTTTTCTCGAAAACGGTTGTCTCCATGAGTTTGTAACAGGAGATCCTTTTTAACAAAAAATTATCTGGAGAATTGTTTTTCAAGATCGAGAATTAAAAAAACCTGAAATAATTTTCGTACATCATTTTATAGCAACTTTTTCTTCACCCCCGAAATATATTAACGATATTTTTGGACACACTGTATGATTTTCGCAGATTTTTCAAACCATTTATATTTCAAAATCGTCAAACATTACTTTTTATTACTTAGATAACCTTATCTAATCTAGTAACTAGACAAACGTACACATAGTTGCCTATACTAATCCATCTAAGAAAATAAAAATTCATGCACACACATCTAGATTCTAGATACCACACCACACACCACAGCACTCTCTCTTTTTGAAGTCGGCCAGCCCAATGTCACTATAGTCAGTTCCATCAGAGACTCAAGGCAAGGCTAACCAGATTTGAAATGTTTAATAATTAATACCGTATAGTAGACTCGAATATTATGGCTAAAAGTTTTGGTGATTGTTTTTGTGTTAGTTACTATGGATTAGTTTGTGTTTTGTTTGGCGTAGGTAGGCTGATTGTTACATAGTTATTAGTTTTGTGTTTTGATAGGTGTTTTGCCGAGATTTTTTAGCAAGACTGTGGAAATACCAGTGTTTTATACATTGTTTGTTTAGAGTAAAATTAGGTATTTAAGAATTAATAAGTATATTTGTATTGACCACTTCCCGGATACTTAATTTTTTAACAAAACTTGATATTATATCTTATGGTTAACAGTTACAAATTCTTGGTTTTATATTTGTAAAACCAAATTGTGAAATTCTTACCATGAATAAAGATCATGACTTGTGTACAGATTATTTCGTACGATGGTAATCCTATGAGTCATATGGTTTGCCGGATTTTAACGCAAAAAAATAGTACCATACATAATAATATTGCCTTAATGATTACAGAGCAATTTTCGCCTATTTAAATAATTGACGTCGAGTCCTAAACTGATTGTTTCCTATTTATATTGTTTATCCCATTAAATAGCATATGTACTCGTCATAAATTAAGACATTAAATTCATAACCTTCAACAATCTTATGTTTACAAAAGTATTTTTTAACTGACAATGGTTTTGTTTTAATGCATACACTGCGTGAAAAAATACACCCAATTTGAATCCATATTTTCCCACATGGTAATCATTTATACTATAAATAGAACATTTAAGATAATTAATTCAAAGATACTGTAAAAATTATAAATATTGTCATTTTTTAATCAAGTTATTGGTTTTCGTTATTAGCATAATTGTTAATTTTACCGCACCTTTTATTGAACAATTTGATTGCGCAAAGAATCGATATTTAATTAAATGAAAGCAAAGATGAGCTTAAAAAATCTTGGTTAGGAAAGAATTATTAAAATATCAAAACTTTGTCATTTTAATTTTTTGGGAATATTTATTTGTTAAAAAATAATAAACAACAAATTTATAATGGCGAATAACAAACGAAGTAATGATGATTTAAATATTTAATTTTTGACAGCTAGCTGCAGATGACTTGTTTATTTTGTTTTTATAACACCTGTTTTTACATGTTTTATACAAGGGCTAAGTTTAATGCATAATAACTGGAAAACTGTAATAATAATAATACTACTTAACAAATACCCAAATTCATCAAAATTATAATTTTATTATAATATAATAATTACTAACAAATAAAAATTAAAAGAAGATATACATAAATAATTGGACCTTCAAAAAAGATAATAATTTATTTATAAAATATTATAAAACACCCAATAGTATGTATTATCTTTATTTTTGAAAAATTAATAAAAAATATTGGAAGAAATATTTATAAAATGATAACAAAAATTTAAAATTATATATAAACTTATAAGTTTACTATAATAAACAGGTCTACAAATGCTGATCTACAATGCTGGTCTACAAATGCTGATCTATGCAAACATAAAAATCAAAGTGCATATTTTAAAAAAAGAAAATTTACTTCTCTTTAAAAACTAATCTAATAGCGAAAAAAGATATTTGAGCTTAAAATTAAGTAAAATAGTTAGCTATGACCAATTTGGAAATTGTATTGTAATAATTAAATAATGCTTAAATATACATTTAAATTTATCTTTTTTAATTTCCATTTTAACGACAGAATAACAAGATTAGAATCCATTGCATTATGATTCTCCGACAAAGTATTTAATTAAAAAAATATTTACGCGAATTATATAGCTGCCACTGTTATCTATTAAATTTTTTAAGTAACTTTCAAGCTATCCCTTATCTATGGGTTCTTCTTTAACCGGGCTTGGGACCGGCAAGGTAAAAATACCTGCCTAAAATTTCCTAAAACAGATAAAGTATTTAAATAAACAAAAACTCTATAAACACAAATTTATTAGTTGTATACATACTTTAATACGTATAAGATTCACTCAAGAAGTCCCTTCATATTTAGTTAAAAAATCGAAAGATAGATTCGTTAAAAAATGCAGTGCCTCATCATAGAGAATTAAAAAATTAAGTATAATTTAAATATTTTACTTTCTATATTATACTATAAATTTTTAATATTTGGATTACATGAATTGTGAAATAGTCCTTCTTTAGGTCTGTTTTGGTTATAAAATTCTGAACTGTTTAAAGAACAAATCTGTGGTTATTTACGCAATATTTTGTTTATTCTTTTTCCATGAGTTTGTCTATTTTATGATTCTTTTGTAAGTGGTTTATTCTGTGGGTTTAGTTAATTGAACTTGGTGATTTATGTGAATTTAGCCATTATGGATATTACGGTGAGAAATTGTACCGATATTGTTGACTTTTTTTACTTAGTTTTAAGTATAGGTTGTGAACTGCGACGTCATTTTTTTTAAGTGGGGTTTAAAAAAATTTCTTCGCCTTTAAATGGGGGCGAAACCCTGCCTCTGCCTCACCAAAATGAAATGTCACGGGCCGCCACTGGATCCCGTTATTATAATTATTTCTTATTAACAAAAACACCCAAAAAACATAATACGTTAAAAATTTATTAATTTTATTTGTGGTGTAATATTTTATTGGAAAAATAATCTAATTTAGATTATACAGGGATTCCCTAAAATGGCGCAATATTTTTAGTTATTAGGGTTCAAGAATTTTATTTTTGCTATTCTCCATTTATTTATTAGTATTTAAGGAACGCCAAAACGTATTTTATTCCGTAGTTTTTATTAATTTTTAATTTAATTTTATATATCGAATGAAATAGAAAACAATTGACGATTAAAAATAAATAGTTACGATATGTTAAAAATTTTAGATATAAAACAAAAAATTTTAAAAACTTTAGTTTTTTAAAATACGATTATAATTTTAATTAAATAGATCTGCAACTGCTTTTGCTATTCTCCAAATTTTTAAAAGCTAACTAAAAGGGCAAATGGGTAGGGTAGGGTCTTGGATTTTAAAAATATTTTAATTATCATTAGACTACCTAAATTAGCACACAATTTATTTCTCTCCCCCTCTTAAATCTATGTTTTTGAGGGGAGTTTATAAGCACATAGGTTATCAAATTAAAAATTAAATTACAACCCTATAATAAATTTCGAAAGTTTTACTTTTCGCGTATAGGTTAAAAAAATTGGCAATTTGTTGCTAATTGTACTTTTCTGTAGTTTTTGGATTCCACACTTTAAAAATTTACAATAAATATCTGTTCAACCATAGAAATGCAAAAAAAATAATTTTATTTTTTGGATCAAAGTCTGATTTAAACTTTTATAAACGATTTATAAATATAAATATGTGTAATAGAATTTGTTTTTAATTTGTTAATATTTAAAAAAAAATATTATTAATGTTTGCCTTTGAAATGAAAAAAGTGGTTTAAGCTTTGCCTATTTCTATGGTCTAATACCAATAATTATAATTATCAATAATATTAAACAAACTATTATATATATTTTTTTAGTTAATTGTGTACAAATATTAAGTAAAAATGAAAGCATTCTACAAGAAAGTGAAACAATATTCGACCCAAACGAAAATGTCGCCCTTTACTGTGCCGGAACCTTTCCGGTTTCATGGAAATTACCGGAAAGTGCATTTCCGGAAAAGGTAAATATATTTTTATATTTTATATATCTACAATTTATTAAACAAATCAAAAACTTTTAGGAATACACCATAAAAACGCTAACAAACGTGACCCTCCCAAACTATGAGCATGTCATTAAGTTGGAAATACAAAATATTTCCTATACAGATGTGGGCGAGTACATTTGTAAAGATAACACGTGGACCAATGGAGATATGAAATCTGTATACATATATGTTAATGGTAAAAACACACTCTAAAATAAGACACATTGCTTCAACAGTTTTATCTGTAGACCTACCTAAAACTATATAATTTTCAGATGAAGAAAAACTATCTGTAAACAAGGAAGACTTTCACCACATAAATGTAATTTTAACCAACGAAAAATCAAAGGTTACATTTCCCTGTAAACCAAGTCATCCTGACGTAGTCGTTGAATTGTACGAATATTCCCCTGGAGATGTAAAACACAAAATAATTATTTATAACGTCAACGTTTAAAATTTTTTTTTTAGATAAATGCAGATTATGACCCTAAGAAGGGCTTCACCTACATGGTGGATGCAATACAAGCCCAGGGAAGTTACACTTGCAAATATACAAGAGGATCAAACGAGATTGAAGAGTTTTATACTATGGCTACTATAAGTAAGTAGAATGAATCTGAACATTTTGTTTTTGCACCATCCCTTATAGCAAAATTTGATTCTAAGAAGATATGACCCGGAATAATGGAATATTCTTAGAACCTTCCCTTATTGCTAAGAATGTTCTTAGGGACTTTTAAAACATTCAATAGATACCCTTTTAATGATGCAATTAGATTCTTGAAAGCTTTTTAAAACCTTCCTAAAAAGCATCCTAAGAACATTTTAAGAATACGTTTTTGGAATGTTCTTAAAAGGTTTCTTATGGAGCTTCTAGGAAGCTTTTGAGAATATTTCCAAATATGTATCAGATACCCACGTTCTAATATGTTGTATTCTACATTCATAAAATTCTTCAGGAGAGGACTAATACGCTTCACTGTCATAATATGACAGTAAAATGTATTTTGCGACATATTAATATATATTTATTTAAAAATATTAAATAAACAATTTGACCCCTAAACCATAAGTTGTATGACATTATTTGAGTACATTAGATGCAAAACTCGGTTTTTGCACATTTTTAAAAAATATATATTTTATCTTATTTATGTTCATAACTACACTGCCCACAGCATACCTAAGTAAACCAGATGCATAAGTTAATATTTGTAGAATAAAATACATTTATAAACTTACCGCAGCTGCAAAACTGGGTATTTGTTTCTTCCTGTCGGATGCAAAACTCGGTATTTGAAAAATCACCAATCACGTCGCTAGTATACGCATTAACTGACGGCATAACAATCACCTGATTAATTGTTATTTTTTTGGTATTTGCACTTTTCACTTGCAAAACTTGGTCTTTGAACGAGGAAGATGCAAAACTATGTTTTTAAATCTTTTGATTTCAATTATTTACTAAACTACTTAATTTTAAAGGACTTTTTTTTACTTTTTGAATAAGAAATGATGCAAAAGCACGTCTATACGATTTTTGTATTTTTTTTTTCAAATATGACCTTATGAGCGGTTTTTCGTGTTTTTCTTAAAATCACTTATCCTGCAAATACAGAGTTGTGCATCTAATGTACTCATTTCATAAAAAGTAAAATTGGAAAATTTTGTGAGATAAGTCAGATTAGATTGAAGTTGAAGATAGTTAGGATTATTATACACAAAAATGTTAATTCAGAAATAAAAAATCGGTATACGAATTAATAAATATTTATTTTTAACATAAAATAAAATACCTATAGTAAAAGTATTTTTGTTATCGAATATTGTTTTAATTTGACAAAAAACTATAAAAAAATATTTTGTATTGTGTTTTTTACTTAGTATTTAATAATAATTAATAATTAAATAGGTAGTTAAGTATAGGTATATACCTTTATACGTAGTTTATGGTATATTTTACTATTATATAGGTAACTGAACTAAATATGCTTAATAGGAATATTCCTAAATAGCAATTACTTTCTTAACATTCTAAGCATATGTTTAGAGTAGACTAATTTTTACCACTAAAACTTTGCACTTTCTAAGAACCTGCCCATAGGCCAGTAAGAATATTCTTAGGATCATCCTATATGTCTTTTAAGCATGTTCTTTAGAAGAAATATAGCATGATCCTAAGAATATTCTCACTGGAAGGTTTAAAAAACATTCTTAGAATAAAGTGTGCTATCAGGGATAATATTTGAAGTTATACTGGAATTTTTATTATTAGGTTCAGACGTCAAAATACCAAGAATTTTCGAGGTAAACCAAGCCCATAACATCATTGGAAACTCCTTATCAGTGGTATGCAACTCATCTTCAAAAGATGTAAATATAACTTGGATTACACCGAATAGGAGATTTGATGAGGTAATATTCATATCAAATTTTTTCACCACTAACGATTCTAATTTTAGACCAGAATGACTAGGATTAAATATAATGATAGGGACTATCTTATATTAAGGTTAGACATAAACCCTACTGTGTCTGAAGATAATGGTACCTATATTTGCAATGTTGCCAATGAGTATGATTCGAAAAATAATAGTTTGGATGTTAAATTACGCGGTAAGGAGTCTTCTTTTATTTATCTTCAAAAAAAATTACAATATTTTATTTATTTGCAGGGCCCAATGAACATTTCTTAACCCTGACTCAAGAATACCTAAAACAAAATGATAATAATAATGTTCTCCAATGGAAAGTCAGGGTTGGTGGACACCCCCATCCACGTGTATACTGGTAAGGACACCAACAAAAAATAGTTACATATTTTATCACACTTTGTTGCTATTTATTAACTTATTTATTTCGTTTCGCCCATTGGCAATTATTCCTTAAGGAAAAATATTTAACACAGCTTAATTAGTTAATAAAATGAAAAAATCGCAATCATGTCGTATATAGCTTTTTTAAAGCATAAAATAATTTTAACAAACTATACATTATAATGTTATAAACTATACATTATAATGTTCGACATCATTTAGGTTCAACGACAAACATCAAGCTCTCCCTGCGAAATACCACACCTCATTCTCCGATAACGATCTCTTCGCCTACTTGGACATAAGAGACCTGAACTACCTGGACTACGGTAACGTAACCATCGAAGCAGCGAATAAATACGACACAAAATCCCTCACTCTATTCGTTAATGTTACCGACAAACCCGAAGTCAAATTGAACAAGAAAGATTTTTACTACGTCAACTCAGATTGTACGATTGAATGTTTAGTTACATCAAATCCGCCACCTAGGATAAGTTGGCTTGTTAAGAGATGTGGGACTTGTAAATACGAGAGAGTTAATGGAACCACGAAGAACTTTAGGAATATAAAATATAGTTCTACTATAACAATACAAAGTTTTGAATCTGGAATAGTGAAATGTATTGCTAGCAACAGTGTTGGTACTATGGAACATGAAGCACCCTTTTTCGTATCTGGTTTGTCTACATATTAAATTATTAAATTTATTATTACATAATTATTTCTGATTGTAGATATTGAAAACGGTTTTAACATATTCGATTTCGACATGGAAATGAACGTTTTTAAATCGCTAGCGGAAATAGCTTTAGGGGAAACCCTCACAATGACTTGTGGCGTTTCTAACACAAACAATTCCGAAGTGGACTGGTTCTGGAATGGCAACCTACTTGAAAATAATGAAAGTAAGGTCCACTTTTTAAGACCTGTGTTGTAATGGTAAAAAATTCATTATTATTCCAGATATTGCTATAGTTCGTAATGGTACAAAGTTTAGCAATCTAGCTAAACTGGTTGTTAACGATATCGACTACAAGAACAGTGGAAATTACAGCTGCAAAACAAGGGACAATAAGCTGTACAAAAGCGTTAAAGTTCAAGTTTTAAGTAAGTTTTATAAAAATCACAAAACATTTTTTACTTGCATCTTTTTAGAACCCAGTGCGCCGCATTTCAGGAAACCAACGGACGAAACAATCAAAATTCTTATACCACAACCAATCAACATATCTTGTGATGTCCAGGGTTTACCAAGACCGTACATAACATGGCTGAAAAACTCCAAGCCCCTGCAGATGAAAAAAGACCACGTCATTCTGGAAAATGAAGGGCTGACTCTGCGTTTAATCAATACGGATGTGAGTGATGAAGCAAGTTACACCTGCGTTGCGAACAATAAGGTTGGAAAGTCCATGCAAACAACAATAATACAGATTAAAAGTGTGGTATTTGATTTGCAATGTTGCATGGTGTATTAAATATTTTTTTTAGATAAACCTGGAAGTCCCATGTATCTATACTTCATCATCGCCATAATTTTGGTTGCTGCGGTAGTACTGGCAGCTTTCCTCTTATATCACATCAGAAAAGAAAAGGTAATTAACAATCTAACAGTATTCTTCTTCGTCTTCTTTCTTGGTGGCAAAAAGCCTTAATGGTATCGGTTTCAATGTCCATCCACCCACAGACATGTGAACTTTCCAATCTTGAATTATCCACTAATTCTCGTGTACAAATCACAAAATACCTCGCTAAAAGGTCAAAGCTTGCGATATTGTCCAAAGATACAGGAATATTTCTATTTCCGAAATCCAATTTTGTCCCTACTGGGTCAAAGTCAGCTATTTTTCACACTTTTTCATCGAGCGATACTCACAATAACAGTATTCATTCATCATAACATTCCTAATTTCAGAAACTGCAAGAAGAGTTGAAACTGGCAGGTTTGGCCAACTTCGAAAAAGGCCAGACCGAAATAATAAACCCTGAGCTAGGTGTTGATGAGCAAGCCGATTTGCTGCCGTACGACAAAAAATGGGAATTTCCCATAGAAAACCTCACCTTGGGTAAACAGTTGGGATCTGGTGCTTTCGGGGTGGTTCTTAAAGCGGAAGCGAAAAATATCATGATGCATGAAGATAAGACTACAGTTGCCGTTAAAATGGTCAAGAAAAATGCTGATAACGCCCTCATAAAGGCTTTAGCGTCCGAGTTGAAGATTATGGTGCATTTGGGACAGCATTTGAACGTCGTCAACCTGCTAGGTGCTGTTACGAAGAACGTGGCAAAAAGTATGTCTTCTTTACGCATCTTGAACCACACTTAACATGTTTTTCTAGGGGAACTCATGGTGATGGTGGAATACTGCAAGTTTGGCAACCTCCAAAACTACTTGCTCAAGCACAGGAACAACTTTGTGAACCAACTAGATCACCACGGCTCTATAGATTACTCCGTTGGTTCGGATATTTTAGACGGAAGTAAAAATAGACAGTAAGTACAATGATTTGTTTGTGTGATTAACCATTTAACTTTCCTCTGTAATACTAACTGAACTACTAATTATTGCATGGGTTGGGGTAGTAATAGGCGAACAAGGTATGCAGAACTAATTTTTAATGATAGAAGTTCGAACAGCAACCCAAGGGTGTCGAAAAGTATGGCGGATTATAGAGGCAATGATTCGAGTTATGGAGAGTGTCAAACTGGAGCCACTGAAATGACCACCATATCCAACTCTGAAGGTATGGCAAATACGTTTTGGTTTACATTTTTTTAAATGTCGACTTGTTAGGTTATGTATCGAGAGCTTACTCAAGAGCCAGCAGTGTACAACCAGGCTGGAGGTCAAACTACAAGGGAGACTATAATGACAGAGGAAAACCTGTTTGCACTAGGGACCTTATATCGTATTGTTTCCAAATCACCAGAGGAATGGGTTATTTGGCATCCAGAAAGGTGAACCAACGTAAATAAAACACAGGAATAATTATATTTAATATTTTTATAGGTTTTACATGGTGATCTGGCAGCTAGAAACGTTTTATTAGCGGAAAATAATGTGGTGAAAATATGTGATTTTGGACTGGCCAAAAGCATGTACAACAACGAAAACTACAAAAAGAAAAGTGATGTAATAATATTCATACAACGCCATACAATCAAAAGACTTAATGGATACTTTTAGGGACCTCTACCGTTGAAATGGATGGCTATAGAATCCATAATGGACAAAATCTTTTCCACGCAATCAGACGTTTGGTCTTTTGGTGTAACCGCATGGGAAATCTTTAGCTTGTCTAGAACTCCTTATCCAGGAATGGACGCGGATGAAAGATTGTTCTACAAACTCCTTAATGGTTATAGAATGGAAAAACCCGAATATGCATCTAAAGAAATGTAATTAATTTATTCAAAATTGTTGTAATTCTAATGTATGTCTTATATTGTAGATATGAAATTATGATGGATTGCTGGGCTCCAAGAGCTATTGAAAGACCTTCGTTTGAGCAGTTAGAGCAAAGATTTGGTGATATTTTAGAGGAAACAACCAAAATGGTAACAAGTTCGCATTCTTTCATCAATTTTGTACCAATTAACAATCCCATTTTAGCAATACATTGCATTAAACGACCCTTACATGCAGATGAACACCAACCAATTCCAAGAAGGTCAAAGTGATTATTTAGCCATGATGAATTCACCCACTTTCGAAAACTTATCGTCACCAAATGTCTTCAACCAATCCGAAGGTGGTGATGGATACCTGACACCGACAAAAATCAAAGACGTAATTTTTGATTTTAACGTAAACAGACCCAACGAGGCAAGCGGTTTGGAGCTACAACCAATGCTACATCCTCATATGGAGTCTGATAGTGAGACGCCAGCGCAAAGTCCAAACCCAAACAGTGTTACCAATCCATCATACAATAATCTACCAGTCGTTAGTTATGGGTCTGAACAAAATAAAAACAAGGACTGGGTTGAGAAACCCTATGTAAATCATAGTGTTATTGTTTAAAGACTTTACAGGGTTCGGTACGAGGACCAAGCGAATTTTAATATGATACAAACAATATATTTGTTACTCAAACATCATCCTGAAGATTTTTTAGATCAATAAGCTTTCTTGATCTTTTTTTTCAGCATCTTTATTTCATTCATTAATACATTTTAACACTACCTTGCCGGACCTTCAAAATATCAAACGTATTGTGCCATGTACATATTATTGTTATATAGTGTTAGCCAAAGAAATTTTGTACTTAATTGTAATATTTATTAATATAAAATTGTTACAAAGAAACTGTCTTTTATTGGTACGTAACCCCGTGACCTCAGATAAGAGCTGTATACGAGATAAGTATAACACTTTCGTTTAGTAGTGATTGAGAAAATGTTAAAGCTAGTGGTCCTCTTGGTTTTAATAGCTTTGGCTAATTCGTGCCCTAGAGAACCGACGATATACCAATCAAAAACCAATAAATTACCTGGGGATAATGGGTACAACATCAAAATCAACGAAAATCCCGACAAATATGTACCAGGGAAATTATATACACGTAAGAATAATCTTAATAAGTGAAAATTCAAAAACCAAGCATGTTTTTTAGTGTACTTAATGGGTTCAAGAACGTTCCAAAAAGTGCAAAGGTTCACGAGGTTTGTGATTAATGTGGAATCGACGAATAATCCAAACAATATATCGCCACAAAATGTGGGAAGTTTTCAGCTGTATGGCGATAATTTATCCAAGTTTAAGGAGGAGTGCGTTAATACTATTTATGAAGCCAACGTATTGCCAAAAACAGAGGTTTTCTTTATGTGGTCAGCTCCACCACCAGGAAGTGGATGTGTCACATTTAGGTAAATTATGCGTCATCAATACAAATGATTCAAAACTGTTTGATGATGGATCGACCATTTTTTTTAACGAAATTTCGTAAAAAAAATCGTTGAAACGAGCAAAACCATTAACGTAGTTATTTTTGATACAGTTTCATCACCATAAACTTCAGCATTTTTAGCCTTACATGAGGTATTCAACTAACTAGTTAATAATAATTTTAGAGCCATGGTTTTTGAAGATTCAAACAATTGGTACTCGGACGATGGTGCTTTGAGCAAAACATTCTGTGAACAAACAGAAAAAGATTTGAAATTCGATGAAAACGACTGCTGTGCCTGTGATGAGGCTAAATATAGTGTATGTTAACATACACATACACACGTAATACAAAATAATAATCATAATTATTTTATAGATGGTTTTTGAAGGCTTATGGTCGAATATAACCCATCCGAAAGATTTCCCATTGTCACTATGGTTGACGCACTTCTCCGATATAATCGGAGCTTCTCACGAGAGGAACTTCACCTTTTGGGGCGAGGAGCAGATAGCCTCAGAAGGTTTTAGAAGCCTTGCTGAGTGGGGGTCTGTCAGACTTATGGAAACAGAATTAAAAGCGAAAGCAAAATTTTTGCGCACCATTATCAAAGCCCCTGGTTTATGGTACCCAAATGTTAATACTAATACCTCAACGAGTTTCAAAGTTGATAGAAGGCATCACTTGATTTCTTTAGCTTCAATGTTCGGACCCACCCCGGACTGGGTAGTCGGTGTTAGTGGTTTAAACTTATGCGAGAGATCCTGCACTTGGAAAGAAAATCTAGTTGTGGATCTGTTCCCTTACGACGCTGGTACTGACAGTGGGATAACCTATATGGTAAGTAAAAATTACAATGTACACTTCTTGGACAGAAACTATGGTGCTTGTAGACCATGGTTTCTGACCTGGGTTTACACGTGTATTAATTAAGTATTAATTAAACCTCTAAATCATGAAACATTTAGTCTCCAAACGCAGAAACTAACCCAAAAGAAAGGATGTATAGAATCACCACGACCTATCCGGAAGACCCCAGGGCTCCGTTCTACGACCCAACCAAGAAAGAAATGCTACCTTTAGCAAAACTGTACTTGAGACGAGAAAAAGTTATTCCAAAAAATTGCGATGATAACTTTTTGAATGCTATTTTGGATGTCAGTGACAATACTGAGGACACATCAAGAGGTAAAGTAAACCGTTCGGTATAATTAATGTTTTCTCTAAAAATGAATTAGTCAAAAATGACTAGTTTTCGAAGTGAAAAAGCAGTCACTAATAACTGTACACATTTAACAGCCAATTCTTATTTAAGATTGTCCCCTGAATCCGAAAAGATTGTCAAAAATTATGAAAGTTTTTGGGATATATGTTAGTATTGTAGCTTAAAATAAAAATGATACTTTATGCGACCTCTATTAGTAGTCATAGTAACTTTAGTGTACTCTGTCAACAATTTGTCTAAATAAAATTAGTTAGTTCCTTCTGACAGTTGAACAAGTCGGTTCTTTCATTTTTACGCTCCCGCGTACTTTTAATAGGTTATGGGCCCAAATTATATGAAAAATTGACTATACCTCAAAAGGTATCTACTTTTAAAACTTTTGACGACATTTTCGGATTCAATTGCAGTTGACGAGAATTATTAGTGGCTGCTTTTTCGCTTTTGACCAATTCATTTTTAGAGAGTAAATACAAATTTACCAATTAAATTTTAGCTGAGTGTGCAGTAACCGAATATTCCGATTGGACAGAGTGTTCAGTAACATGCGGCAAAGGCATTAGAATGAGACAAAGAGAGTATAGAATGCCGCAAAAAGCACAGATGTTTGAGTGCAAGAGACAACTAGTTTCAAAGGAAATGTGTGTCGCCAAAGTACCAGAATGTTCAGGGTAAATACTAGCAAAACAAAAACACATAATAATAGCTAAAAAATACATTGCAGTGGGGAAAATGATAGATCCGACGAGATAGACGACAAAATCGAAGACTTGCCTGAAGACGGAATCTGCTCTACAACCCCATGGGGACCATGGTCGGAATGCTCGGAATCCTGCGGTATAGGCTTCAAAATGCGCACTAGATTGTTCCTCGATAAAATGGGCATGAAGAAATGCCCGCACATCATCACAGTAGAAAAGGAGAAATGCATGGGTCCCACTTGTACTGCCAAGCAACAACAAGAAGCGGAAGTGGCAGATCCGATGTGTCCAACCACTTCGTGGAGCGATTGGTCGCCCTGCAGCGCCTCTTGCGGGAACGGCGTGAAGTTCAGGACGAGGTTGTTGCTCGTGGATCCCAATTTGCAGCAGAAATGCAGCGCTAGGATCGAGTTGATGCAACAAACGCCTTGCTCTGTTTCGTCAGATTGTACCTTTGATATGGCTACAGCCAAAGGTGTAAAATTAATTCTAAGAGTACCAACCCTTCACTAAAGATTCTTTTAATATTTTTTAGTGGTATGCATGCAACCCAGTGATTTCGGACTTTGCCAGGGTTACTTTAGCAGATGGTATTTTGACACCACAAAACTAAAATGCCTTCCTTTCGTCTATGGAGGGTGCCGTGGTAACAGAAACAACTTTTTGACAGTCGACGAATGTAACAACCAATGTGGAGTGGTACGAGGTAAGAATACAATAAAGGCAAACAGTAGTGAGATAAGAAACTAAACAAACTGGTCTGTTCAGATGCCCTTAGAGGTCTGCCGTCGTCTCCAGCTTCACAAGCCGCAGCTGAAGCATTGCCAGCTGTTGATTGCATGGTGTCAGAGTGGAGTCCATGGAGTCCTTGCAGCGCGTCCTGCGGAATCAGCTACAGCAGGAGGTTCAGGATGATTAAGAGGCCCGCTCAAAATGGCGGAAAAGCTTGTCCCAAAGTTTTGGAGAAGAAACATAGATGCAATGGACCACCGTGTTTATAGATAAACTATACTCTTGATAGTTTGGTTTATATACAAAAACATTAGCCAAACAGAGGTGAGATGTAATCTGTTAATAAATGAATAAATACATACCTTTTCCTGTATTTTTTCTGAAAGGTTCAAGGTATAGAAAAACTTCCCATTAATAAAGAAAACTAAGTATTTTATTTGATAACCTTATAAATTACAACAAAACGGTACTTATGTACATAAAAATTATATGGCGAAGTTTGTACTATGATTTCTTACCCATGTTGCTTCTATAATGTATATCACATGTATAGGTAACATAAAATATAAAATAGATCATTATAAAAGCTTACAAAACAGTAAATCACATTTTAATGCCTAATTTAAATAATATATACAGTAAACTTATGTTATAATATGTGTTTGAACTGACAATCTTTGTCTCTACAATTCCCATCTACTTCGTATGGACAGATTATGGCGAGTGGGTCAAAAGTTTCGACTCTGAAAAATAAGTGAGTTAGGGGTAAATACTTAGACTAAAGAGTGGGGAGACAGAGCTTTAGTTTTTATGATTTCAAATAATAAAATATGTTTGCTCCATCTCCTCTCTCTTAAATCCAAGGTCCAAAAAACCTAAAACGAACCTTTTGGAATCTAAAGGTGATATATACTTGGCCAGAGTGGTCTCCACAATTGGCAATTTTTTTATTTCTAATATTTTGTGAATATCGTTGGGATCGCCAAAATTAATCGTTTCTTCCACCATTGAAACCGGACTTTTTACGGCCGGCAGCGGTATTTCCGGTATTTCTACGACTAACGGTGTCTTAGGTCTGGGAGGAAGAAGAATAGTTGGGTTGGGTGGTAATTTTTTGATTTTGCTAAAAATTAGTTTAGTTTGTTTTTGGAAGAAATATTAAAGTATTAGTTGTTGATTGTTAACAAAGTCAAAGATTTGTCAAAAGACACTGTTCTGCTTTTGAAAAATTTAAACCTTTCTGAGCACCCTGTACATTTGATTAAAGTTTTTTTTATGGGAATATCGTTTTTTTATACAAGCAGAACTTTATGAAGGTTGAAGTTTTTTCGTAAAACGCATAATAAAAAGTTTTTACTATGGGCAACCCAATCCGGAACAAACAGAAAAAAATTGGACTACAAGGTTTGTCAACAATACATTTAAAGCATAAGAAATACACATAATTTTTAAGTAAAGCTTCAAATTGCTTTTTTACGGCTCAAATACGACCATTTTTAACAAAGATACAGCTATCCGAAGAATCGCAAAACAATTTTTTTTATCTTTCAATTTTTTGTATTGGTGTAGAAGTTTTACATTTACTGGTTTCTAATGTGGAAACTACCAAATAATAAGAAATCAGATTTTTTAGTCTCAGTCAAAATTTTTTATAATGAAAAATTTAATATATTCTACATTTCACTTTATTATTAATATATATTTTACTCAAAATATCATTTTGAAAAAAAAGCCGTTTTTTTTCTAGGTTTTTTTTCATGTTTTTTTACATCAATGCTTTTAATAATTCTTAATGCTCTTTGCATTTAGACGACTCATTTGTTATATGACTTTTACTGAATTTAAATGTTTACAGTTATCATTAATAAATAGTTATTTATGTATCAAGGCAGTAAAGTCGTATTTTTTATCACGAATGTGGAAATTTTTAAATGTGGAAACATTTAATAAAACTAATAATTAATATTGATAATTAAATCAAATGTAATTTGATGATGAAATCAAATGTCATTCGAATGATATTATTTTTATTAAAGAACATTTTATGAAAGGGTCCAATTGACCTACGCGATGGTGCTTTTAAAAAAATATTATTTAGTTGCTGCTGAGGAGCAGTAGACACATCTTAAAATGTATAATGCGTTGCATATAATACTCATATTAAATCAGCAGTAAAGTCCTACTTTACTGCCGATTTCTTTTACTTTACTGCCGATTGTGGACTACTTTACTGCCGATTTCGGATAAATGTTATTTATTATATCAATTGTACAATTTATATTTGGGCCTGTATGCAATTTATTTCTTCATTCGGATTCCCACTGTTTATTGGTAAATATTTTTAACATTTTCCGGTTTATTCTCAAAAACACTGGTTTGTAACATAGGTACGCGTTTGACAGCTGCTTATTAAAAGTTATACTTTTGGTACTATGGTGGCGCTACTAGCGATGCTTCTTTAGAGTTAAAACTTCTTGATCTTTTTTTGTGTACTCGGTTGCATATAAAATTACCGTTAAGTGCGTTGCTTTAAATATGAAAGTTGTTGTAAAAAATGTGTCAAAAATTGCTTACAAAAACAAAATGGTATCAAATGTACTTAGTACTTTAAAATATTCTTAGAAAAAAAAAATCAAATTTGCAGAACAGTGAAATCATCAAAACCGAGTAAAACCAAAGCAAAAAAACCTCAAACCTTGAATCAAATTTTTGCTTTTTGCCGACCAGGTCTTGCACGTTGAGGCAAACAATCTGCTGCGACTGTTCCAGCTTCCTTTTCGCCGCGTTCAGCTCCAACATCAGCTCCTTGACGCGTTTCTCGTGCTTTTTCCGTTCGTTAATGGCCGCGAAAATTTTCGCCACCGCCGGCTTCAGCTGCGCGTAACTCTCCTGTATCTGTAATCTGGGTTGCATACGCTATGTTGTAAGATTTGTCTCGGGGATTCACCCGAATCCAAAACAAGGTTTTGTCTATGTTTTCTCGCATTTATTTGTTAGTTATGAGATTTGTATACATTTTTTAGCGGTACATGCATTTTTTACGTTATTAATAATTAGAAGTAATTATATTTGAGAGAAAAGATTTTTAAGCTAAAATGATTTATCTGACAAAAATTTTAAATTTTGTAAAAAACTTTGTGGTTTGTAATAGAAACTTCTATAGGAGGCATAAATAAAATTGGATACTCTATAAAATGCTCCATTTAAAAATTTAAAAAAAATAATATTACAACTTCTAAAAATTAATTTAATTATTAAATACCTTCCATTCTTTTCGACCTGCATCTCCTTGTAAACTCCTTTGAAGACATTAAGATCCTTTTTATAATCCCAAACTCTATTGTCACTTTTAGGTGTATTGACTTTATTTACAACTTTATTTGGAACAACTTTTTCAGCAGTCAAATTATTTTTACCAACTCTATTTGGAGTGGTTTCGAGTAATTTTTTCTTTACTGCAGGTTTAATTTTATTATTTGCTATCGCCAGTTTTTGCAGTAATTCTTGGTACTCGATTTGTTTATCTTTTGGTAGTAATTTTACAGCTGACTTAGCAGTGCCATTATTTGGCTTATTTTTTAAAACTGGGGTGCTAACTTTGGCGCTTTTGGCCTCGACTTGAGCTCTTTGCTCTTTCAAAAATTTATCTACAGTACTTTGGATGTCATTTATGTTTGTGGTTTCTTCCTCTGTATCTGAGTCGTTGTTGATGTTTATTATAAGTGGTTTAACAATTGGCATTGTTGGTAGAGGTTTTGTAGTTATTTTTCTCACAACTTTGTAGTTATTTATAGATTTGATTGGTTTTGGGGCATTCTCAGTCTTTTTCTCAATTTTCACTACTTTTTCTACGGGTTTAGCGATTTTTTGTGACATAGAAGCCAACAAATTCGCCCGAAGGATATCTTCATCGTCTTCCTGAGTTAAATTTGTATCTTCCACGTTTTTATCGTTATTTTCCTTGTTGGTTTCGGAAACAGCAGAATTATCCGATATATTGCCTTCATCTTTGAGTTTTTTCTTTTTCTTGTGGTTGTATTTGTTTAAAATCGCTGTTCGTAACGCCTCACTCCTTAAAACCATCAACTCATTATCTATTTTTTCTGGATTGTCATTGATTTTGATGGCCTCTTCCGACTTATCTACACCCCCCAAATTCTGCATTATTTTCAGCCTCGTTTTCAAGCTGTTAACGTGCCACTCTTCCTTCTCTATGCACACCGTAGCCTTCAGTTGCTTCTTGAGCACCTTGTGGTCGAGCACAAATCTATCACTGTCCGAATCGTCGCTGATGGACTTTTTCCTGGACTTTTTCCGCCTCTTCGACGATTCGGATTTCCTGCGACGTTTCACTACCCGCATCTCCCCGTCGCTGATGCTGCTTAAAGAAAGACCCCGTAAATGTCGCTTAGATGTTGTCAACTTACCATTCTGGATGGGTAAAGTTAGCGAATTGTCGGATATGTCTTCGAAATCGTCGTCGACGATTTCGCCCTCTTCCCGTTCGTCCGAACCGAGCGTCACGTCGATCGTTTCCATTTTATCGCGATAAAGTGAAACTTTCTCGCCCTTTTCGTAAGAAATAAGTCAACTGTCATAAGAGGTGCCAACTGAAATTAAACAAAGAACATCACACGAGTTTACCGAATTCACCTAATTTCAGTAGTTACTGAGAATATTAGTGGTTAAATTTGTTTAAAATGACTTAAAATGCACAGAAATATTTAAGAATTTCGCAAATAATAACGATTTATAAAATAAAACACATGTTAACAGTATCTTTTAGGTTCTTATGTTGGCAACACATTAATATTGATTATTTAGGGATTGCCAACAGATACGAAAATAACAAAGAAAAGCACTAAATTTTGCATTTTGTTAAATCGTTTTAAACATATTACCGCCCAATTATAATAAAATTATTATTTCATACATAAATATAATAAGAATATTTAAAAGATAACAATATTAATTTTAAAAAATCCTACATTTAGTTTAAAATAAAATCAATATCTTATTAAAAATTATAGGTAGGTACCTAAATTCTAAAAAATATTATTTAATATTAATAATCTTTAATATATTCCAATATTTATAAAATTATTTGAGTGACATTGCAGTAATTTAAAATTACTAATTTTACGTTGGCAACATTAATTTCTTAAATTCATAAAAACTTCACGTTCAAATCGTTTTCTTAACATTATCAAAGTAATTTTCAGGTGTTTCACTACCTTTCCACGTTGATTTAACAAAGCGCAATTAATTATCACCGAAAGCATATTATCGCCAGCGAGAGTTATCGATTTTTCTTAACCCAATTTCTATCGACAAAACATCGGAATTTCTTGCATTTTCCAGAACTTTCTGACCATGGCCGATGCGATTGATATTTCGCCGAATCAAGACGGCGGTGTGCTGAAGAAAATATTGAAACAAGGCACCAGCGATGAGTGCCCCCCGAATGGGTGCAAAGTAAAAGTTCACTACACTGGAACTCTCACCGATGGCACTAAATTCGATAGCAGTAGGGACAGAAATCAACCCTTTGAGTTTGACTTGGGAAAAGGTACATGATACTAATGTTTTCTTCAATTTATTCTGATTTTTTTGGTTTATAGGCAGTGTCATTAAGGCATGGGATATTGGTGTTGCTTCTATGAAAAAAGGTGAACAAGCCATTTTGACTTGTGCACCTGCCTATGCTTATGGTGAGGCTGGTAGTCCACCAACTATTCCACCAGAGTCAACACTGCTTTTTGATGTAAGTGTACTGGTGTAACAAAAATTTTAAATGTGTTTTTATGGTTTTTTTTATTGTCTAGGTTGAGGTTATTGACTGGAAAGGTGAGGATTTATCACCCAACAGCGATGGGGGTATTGAAAGGGTGCAAACTTTGACCCCTGGGGCTGGTTTTACTTCTCCAAATGATGGGGCCATTGTTGAAGGTAAGAATTTTTTTAATTTGTTTTTTTTTTACTTATACCTATCTATTAATTATTTAAACATTTGATTTGCTATAAATTTTAAAAATTATAAAAATCGGTTTTATTTGATTTTATTTTTAATAAAAAAGTGTAATTGAGGTTATCTATCTGTCAGGTTAACGATAATTTCGTCGTTTCTTCTACACATATTTTGTATTATTTTTAAAAATCTTAGATTTATATTAAAAAAGTTTTTATAATACAAAATATGACTTTTTTCTTAATTAAAGATAATTTAACAAAAAAGAATTTGTCAAAATCACATCTGACAGTTGTCAGACGAATTTAACCTCACTTTTTACCAATTTATAATAAAGTTAAGTTCAGCCCATGGCTAAAAAGCCTGAAAAGCCATCCCGTGATTAAAACGCCATAAAGTAGCAACTTGTCAATGTGGAAGTATATAATACTATATAAGAGGTAGGTAATGCGTATTATCTAGAGTACATTAATGTAATTTCTCTACTCCAATTAAATTATTTTCAAAAATAAATAAAATCTGACATCTGTTAGGCATTCCTAACCTCACTTTCTTTCAATTCAAAAGCTGATTGGGCCAAATCGCAGTAAATAATGAAATCGGCCAATCGCTGACGTTCATTATTTCCCTTGGGGTTATAATAGTTACCAACATACACCAAAAAAGCCCAAATAATGTCAACATTAGTCAATTAGTTATTTTTTTTATAATAAACAAGTTAATAAATTAATTTTTATGAAACTTTGGTTTCCTGTTTTCGTATTTTATTTTGTGGTTAAAACTCCCTACCTACTTGTTTTGTGATTATTTATTTATTTACATTGCGGTTTTAATTACTATCTTGAATGAAATTTTTTTAGAACAAAATTCTATTGATAAAGTTTAAAATAAGCTTTATTTTAATTTTTTTACTTAAGTTTTTTTTTAAATTTAAACCAGAATTTATATGATATGTTATTATTTTAAATAAATGAGTTTTTTTAGGTAAATTATTACTTTTACATTTAAAAATAAGTCAAAACATGCCTTTACAACTTTTTACTTAAAAAATGACAACTTTGGTAATATTTTTAACAAATATTGGAAATATTCCTCAACACCAAAACATAGAATTAGAATTTAAGCACTTTGAGTTTTGTTTTGGTTTTAGATTTGGGGAATATTTCTAACATTTGTTTTACAGGGATTTTGTTTTAACCAAAATGCAGAGCTTGACAAAAGTCCATAATCAGGGTTGGGTATCTACCTACATTTTTGTTTTCGACATGTAGAAAACCTTTTTCGACGTTTTCGACGGTAGAAAACGTAAAAAAGTAGAATACTGTCAAATATCAAAAAATGTGAGGTTATGCAAGTTTGTTGTTTATTATGATTTGTTAAATGTTGTGAAAAATCAGACACCTACCATAAATTTGAAGTTATTTGGAGTTTTTTAACATTATTATGGTGGGAAAAAAAGGGCCACGTTTGGTTGGGAGACCCCAACATAATTTTTGGCATGAGGGCAAATTTTTATCAATTATAGAGAAGTGGAAGGAGAAGGTCGAATAAGGTAATTTACGTAGGCAGTAAACCCTATAGGTTTACAAGTTTTCTACCCTTTTCTACCAAGGTAAATTACCTAAGGTTTTCTACTGACCCAACCCTGTCCATAATCAGGGTTGGGTCAGTAGAAAACCTTAGGTAATTTACCTTGGTAGAAAAGGGTAGAAAACTTGTTTTCGACTTGCGTCGAAAACCTATAGGGTTTTCTACCAACGTAAATTACCTTTTTCGACCTTCTCCTTCCACTTCTCTATAATTGATAAAAATTTGCCGTCATGCCAACAATTATGTTGGGGTCTCCCAACCAAACGTGGCTCTTTTTTTCCCACCATAATAATGTTAAAAAACTCCAAATAACTTCAAATTTATGGTAGGTGTCTGATTTTTCACAACATTTAACAAATCATAATAAACAACAAACTTGCATAACCTCACATTTTTTGATATTTGACAGTATTCTACTTTTTTACGTTTTCTACCGTCGAAAAAGGTTTTCTACATGTCGAAAACAAAAATGTAGGTAGATACCCAACCCTGTCCATAATGGATATTTATTAATAGAACGTTACAAATATGACAGATGATTTTTATAGAACTTGATTCAAAAGAAAACATTAAACTAAAACAACCAAAAAGTAAACCATTTTTTAATTTTATTGACACTTCACCATATAACTGCCAACTGTAACGCAAAAATTTAAAAGTTTCTTAATATTTTCCTACTTATGGCGCCTTTTCACTTTTTAATCGTAAATGTTTTAAATGTAAAAGAAAATTAAAGAAGGTTTTTTTAAAATTATGGAATATATAATTTTTTATAATTTTAATTATGTCTGACAATATTTAATAATTAAATAAAATGACGTCTAGAATAAATTTAATTCAAATTTAATGGAAACAGATAGGAAAAATAGCGAAATATTATTATGTGTAGGCAAAATAACTATTTTTTATGATATACACTGCGCGTCACAATTAACGCATAAAAAGTAAAAAAATTCTCTAAAACGCCTTTACCAATTTTTATGAAATTTTGTATAAGAATACTTCAACTTATATCTCAGTTTACGTTTTCGAGGGTTTTTTGAGAAAATATTTTTAAAGTCCTTTTATTTAATATTTAAAAAAACGCTCGAAAAATATCTTTTATAGGGAATTTTTTAAGTAAATTAAAAATATGCTGTTAATGACTGTATTTTTGCTAGTATACCCTGAAAATAATACTAAATGTGGGAAATTATTTTATTATCTCAATACAAAAGTATTAAATAGTTTCTCAACCCCAATATTTCAAAAGTTTATATGAACATTGTATTGACCTTTTAATTTCGCCGGCAGTAAACTATAACTTAAATTCGGGCACGGACTCCACTGTAAAGTCCTCATAAAACATTTTCTTTACTTTCACTGTGAAAAACTGTCAATTTTCAAGAAATACATTTCGATTTATAACCTTTGTAATTGTGTTTATAAGTGCAAAATGTGACATTTGACGGTGACACACAGATTTCCCTATTGTTTCATAGATGGCGCTCTACAAATTTTTGATTTAAATCATTTTAAGATAATAATAAGTATTTGTCGTAGAAAAAGTATAGTGTGCACCTCGTTTATAAACTTTTCTATGGCGTTTATCAAACTTGATACATAATATACTATTATACACTCCGCCAAGAAAGTATCGCATCACCATTATTTCTTAATATAACAAATATATCAATGATATATAAATGTTTATAAGGATGTTTTTAAATATTTTCTAGTTATTTTATTTGTAAAATCATAAAAAAATACAACATCAACGAAAAGCAATGGTTTTATTCAATTTAATTCACAAATAATGAAAAATGCAAAAAACAATGTTAATTAAAAATAAATTTAATGACATATAAAATAAATTTAGTAACGCGTATTGCCCCCTCTAGCTCTTATTACTTCACGACAACGTTGTGGCATGCTTCCAATTAATGTCCTTAAATAATCCTGATTCAAATTGTCCCATTCTGCAGTTAATAGCCGTTGCAGGTCCTGAAGATTAGCTGGCAGCACGTTTCCAGCTCTTACCCTTCTATAAAGATAGTCCCAAACATGTTCTATTGGGTTTAAATCTGGACTGCTGGCCATCCTAAAACTGGGATATTTACCTCCTGAAGGTACTCGGTTACTATCCTTGCGACGTGGGGGCGTGCATTGTCATGCATTAAGACGAAATCGTCACCAACAAATGGGGCGTAGGGGACAACATGTTGATCCAAAATGTCTCTAATGTACCTGTCAGCAGTTAAGGATCCTCCATCTAGCACCACCAATTCCGTAAAACCACTTAAAGATATTCCTCCCCAAACCATAATAGACCCTCCTCCAAAATTTGCCGAAGGTCTTATGTTGCATTGAGAATAGCGCTCGCCGTCTCGTCTATAAACAGGTATTCTTCGGTCTGATGTGTATAAACTAAATCTTGACTCATCTGTAAAGAGTACGTTACCCCAGTTTTCAATATTCCAATTAACATGTTCTCTAGCAAATGTTAATCGTGCTACACGGTGTTCCCTGGTGAGTTGAGGTGCAATGACAGCTACTCTGGCTCCAATTCCAGACTGCCTTAAGATGTTTCTCACAGTTTCTGAAGATATACGTACATTCCGAGTCTCAGCCAAGTCATGCTGAAGTTGACTTGCAGTTACATGTCTTCGACGCAGAGCCTGAAGAGTCAAAAATCTATTGTCTGCAGGCGTAGTTGCTGTCGGCCGGCCTGATACTGCTCGTCTGTTATATCCTCTAGTCTCTCGGAATCTAACAAGTACTCGGGATACTGTCGATTGGTTTACACCTACTAAATTAGCCACGTATCTCTGACTTCGTCCATCTTCAACAAGAGAAACTATTCTAATTACTTGTTCCCTAGTTAAATTTAAATTTATGTTTGAACGGCCTTTCATATTCAATATTCTTTGCAAAATTTGTAATTAAACACAAATTGTGTGCACTTAAACAAAGCAAAATATAAAATAATATAATTAATTAAATCCAATTAAATCTGACAAAAAAGTTTTTTCGCAGTTTTTTCTGAAACAATACATTGTTTTTGTATTTTCGTTTGTCAACATTTATTGCATTGTATAAATAAATTAAATTTAATGGTAATATTTTTAGTTTTATAGGTGATGCGATACTTTCTTGGCGGAGTGTATATATAATAAAATATATATACTTCTTTGACATGTAAAATTCTATTCTATAATTTTGAAGGTATTATTTTCCAGTGCATATTAATATTTAACTTAATATTTCTTATCCAATTAAAAAGTGAAACGGCTTGCCATAGCTACTTGAACAAAAACAAAACGTTTTAAAATGCTTAAAACAAAGAAACGTTTCCAATGTTCAAACCATTGCATTTTTATGAAAATATTGTATTTTTTGTAAAAAATGTTGACCTAACCATAAAAACTTGTGTGCAGTCCATCTGGTGGGCAAGCACGAAGACCGCGTGTTCGAAGATCGCGACGTGTCGTTCACGATCGGCGAAGGTTCGGAGATGGGCGTGGCGAAAGGCGTCGAGCTCGCCCTCCAGAAGTTCACCAAAGGCGAAACGTCCAAGTTGAAGCTGAAGCCGTCGTACGCGTTCGGCAGCGAGGGAAGCGAAGCGCTCGGCGTGCCGCCGAAAGCGAGCGTCGAGTACACCGTCTCGCTGAAGAGCTTCGAGAAGGCGAAGGAGAGCTGGGCGCTGGACGCGCGGGAGCGACTCGAACAGGCCGAGTTGTTCAAAGAGAAGGGGACCAAGTACTTTAAGAGCGCCAAGTACGCGCTGGCCGTGAGACTGTACAGGAAGGTGCTGGCCTTCCTGGAGACCGACAAGGACTTCAAGGACGAGCTGGCCGAGAAGCGCAGGAACTTGGTGCTCGCCGCGCATCTGAACGTTTCGCTGGCTGCGCTGAAGACGCTCGACTTTTTCGAAGCCAAATCCGCGGCAAATCAAGCGCTCGAAATCGATCCCAACAACGAGAAGGCTTTGTTCAGGAGGGGACAGGCTTTTGTCGGTAAGTTTCATCTCGCTACGGTTTACTTTCTCTTGGTGTTTATAAGGGGAGGTGCAATTTTTTCTCTGCACCTGTTTTGACAATAAAAAACTACATTCGCGGTAAGTTTCATCTCGCTACTGTTAACATTCTTTTTGTGTTTATAAGGGAAGGTGCAATTTTTTCTCTGCACTTGTTTTGACAATCAAAAACTACATTTGTGGTAAGTTTCATCTCGCTACTGTTAACATTCTTTTGGTGTTAATAAGGGGAGGTGCAATTTTTTTCTTTGTACTCATTTTTGCAATTAAGAATAGTACAGTTAGGAACAAAACATTTTACATGTGAAGCAAGTTTCATCTCACTATTGTTTACATGCTTTTGGTATTAATAAGCAGAGTTGTAAAAACGCATTTTTTTAAATCCAATGATATTTCATTGCTCATTTTTATCATAATGAGTAATGAAATTAATTTACATTTTTTTGTTTAATGGAGAATTACTTGGACATTTCTCATTTTCAATTTTTAATAATGTAAGAGTTTACATTAAATTTTTTATTTTAGTCATTTTTTTTAATGGGGAGAAATGAGTATTTCATTGCTCATTTTTAACACGTACGGAAATTATTTTTTCTTGTAGATATCATTTGTATTTTATTTTTCGCACGATTTGCATTGGATATCATAATAATATACAAAATATTTGTAACGAAAATAGGTTGTAGCTATGGAACTAAGGAAATATTTTTTCTAAATATATTGCGTTTTAAATGCCAAAAGGGCGTACTACAGCAGTTAAATAGGGTTTTGTGCCAAAAGGGCGGATAAAAAAAGCCATTCAACTTAAAACCGTTCAAAACGTCAAGATCTGTAAAAATAAATTTGACTTACTACGCCCTTTTGGCTTAAAAAAAATTTTTTTTGTCATAATTTGAATTTTTATGAAAAATTGAATTTTTCTTCAATTTGACTTTTTTTATTTTTTTGAAAATAAAATTTTTTTTTTATTCGATTTTTTCGGAAATTTTAATCATTTTAAAAATTTGAATTTTTTTCATATTGACAAAAAAAGTTTTCAAAATTTGATTTTATTTATGCTGACAAAAAAAAATTACACATTTTTTTTAATGAGTAATGTAAGATGTTCCATACCATATTGCAAACTTTTTATTGAGTAATGGATTAGAATTACATTTCCATTAAAAAAAAATGACAAATGCATTATTTTTTACATTAGGATTTTTGCAACACTGTTAATGTTATGTGCAATTTTTTCTCTGCACTTGTTTTGACAATCAAAAACTACATTCGCGTTAAGATTCATCTCGCTACTGTTAACATTGTTTTTGTGTTTATAAGGGGAGGTGCAATTTTTTCTCTGCACTTATTTTGACTATCAAGAATAGTTCAATTAAGAACAAAGAATTTTACATTCACAGCATGTTTCATCTCACTATTGTTTACATTCTTTTGGTGTTGATAAGAAGAGGTACAATTTTTTCGATGCACTTGTTTTGACAACCAAAAACTACATTCGCGGTAAGTTTCATCTCGCTACTGTTAACATTCTTTTCGTGTTTATAAGGGAAAGTGCACTTATTCTGATAATTCTACTTTTTTTAAGATTAAATCATTTTGGGGGTAAAAAGTTATTTTTGATGGTTTTAATAGCAATATTAAAATTAACTTTAATAATTAATTTTAAGGTCTTACTGAAGCTGAATTAGCTGCAAAAGATTTTGCGCGTTGTTTGGAGATAGATCCGAACAATAAGGCTGCGCAAGCGCAGCAAGCAGCTTGCGCAAAAATTTTAAGGCAACAATTGCAGAAGGAAAAGAAAATTTACGCAAACATGTTCGATAGATTCGCCAAAATGGACACACAGGTGAATTCCTAATTATTTTTTTTACATAACTATATTGTTAGAGTAGTTTTTTATGTTGTATTTTGGTTTTATAACTATTAATAAAGTAAAGGTTTAAAAATTGTGTTTTATTTTCTGATGTGGTTTTAGAGGGAAGAAAATGAGAGCAGCAAGGCACCGAATGTTTTATCTTCCGTGGGAGAGTGGGGGCAAGAGGATCGCGAAAGGGAGCCTAGCGAATTCGAAAAAGAAAACCCCAATATATTGCTATTAAATGGCAGTGGAGAGTTTAAAGATATGTAACTTAAGTACTTGAGCTTTAATCAATTAAACAGCATTTAATACAAAAACTTTATTATTAACAACGATTAATTGGCGGAAACCTTCCAAAAACACAACTTCCTATCATCTCCAACACAAACTAGAGGATATCTATAATGCCAGCTCACATTCGTAGGCAATGTCAGGTTTGCTGCCAATTTCGTGGCCTGAGATTTAACGTGAACAACTTTAAGAGTCCCCTCGAGACTATTAGTGGCTGCTAACAATTCCGCCTGCGGACTAAACTTTATACTGCCCCCGTTTTCCGGAAAAAGAACACTTGTCCAAACAGGAAAACTAAAATGGACTCTAAGTAATTTTTCACACCATTAAACACAATTTCTTACCATGGTTTGCTCAAATCCCAAACTAGCAGCTCTCCTAGATGCAACGAGGATACCATTTGCTCATTTACGGGGGCCCAATGAGCCCCTATTAAAGGTTTACCGTAATCCAACGAAATAACAGGCATTTCACTTTCGACGTTGTAAAATCGTATTATTCCGATTTTTTCGCCTACTAGTAACTTATTGCAATCATCTCTGTGCCACACAGCACTCATACCTTTAAAAAAAAAAAATCAGCTAAAATAAATTAAGGAGAGACTATGTACCTGGAGATGTTAAATTAAATGTATTCTTCAACTTAAAATCATCCACGGACCATATTTTAGCCGTATTATCGTCACTCACGGACGCTAAATATGTATTTTCTGGATCAAAACTCACATCGTTTATGTAACTTGTATGACCAGCTAAAATCTATATAAACCACAATATTTCCCCGCCTAATTACGCCCAAATCAACCCACCTTGCAAGTATTACTCTCATTCATATCGCTCGTGTAAATCCTCAGCTTAAAATCGCTCCCCCCAACACAAAACATCAAAATATTAGGGACGATGTTCAAATTTGTCTCCGGAGAAATACTCAATGTAGAACATCTACATTGATGCTTAAACTCCGACATGACATTCAAAGACGGCACATCCTACAAAATAAACACGCCAAATCTTTTGAAACACCTTTAAAATTAACTTACCTCCAAGTTTAAAAATGCCAGCACGATTTTATTCTCGAACGCTATTAAAATCAAGTCCTGCGACCATTCGAACTGCGAGAAATGCACCGAAAGAATTTGCCCATGTTCAGAGAAGTCCTCCGTGTAGTTGGGCTCGCTGAAGTTCTTCCGCATCGAGCTTAAAACGTCCATTTTTGCCGGGTTTTAATGTTTATAACCTAAAAATGTCAACTTTTGAAAGTTTTCATGTAGCGCCACCTATTATAAATACTATGAATGATTAGGTTGAAAAATCGTTGATAGAAGGCGCGCGGTACCGACGAATTGTCTGTTTTACCGGCTTAGTTATTTTTAGACATTTGTCATGTGTCAATTATTAAAAACAATGGTTTTTACCGATATTTAGTAGTTATTTAAGATTTATTTATAGAATTACTTAATTAAATTAAAAACACTATAGCAATAAACTTTTATATTTAGTGAAAATGGCTGCTGATATATTAGGGGCCGAATGGTAAGGTTAGGATACTGTGGAAGCATTTTTTTTAAATATTAACTTTACAGGCATTTGTCACCTGCAGGGATAAACCTAATTACTGATAATGGCAACATAAAAGACCGATCTCAAATACTGAAAAAAGCCTTGGATGTATGTAAAAAATAACCTAAAAAAATTAAACTGTTAACAAAATGTATTTTTAGACTGATTTGAAGGAAATAGGTGGCTCAGTGCTGAGCAAAGAACTAACAAAGGACAAAACGTCGAAAATGGTGTTGCAAATACAAAAAATACGTAATATATCGGCGCCAAAAGCCAATGAAGAGTCGCAAGCTGCCCCGAGAATGTTGAAATTAATTCTAACCGATGGAGAAACCAGTGTTCAAGCTATAGAATTATCGACGATACAACAAATAAGCAGGGAAAAAACCGCCCCCGGTACTAAAGTGTTGGTGAACGGGGCCAAAATTTCCTCGGGGTTTTTGTTGTTCAATAACAGTTGTGTTAGTGTTCTGGGGGGGAAAGTTCCGCATTTAATAGAGAGGTGGGAGTTGGCCAAAAGTGTTCAAAAAAGCAATCGGCAGCAAGGTACCACCGATGGCCCCCCTCCATGGGTAAACTTTGGCTGCAAAATCCAAGCGGGCGACAAAAACGACGCCTTCAAATCCTTGCAACCCAAAACTAAAGACCCCAACAAAGACGACACGGAGTTTGAGCAGCAAAGACAAAAAGCCCTTGCAGAGGCAAGCAGCGGGGCTGTCAAGAAAGTTTTTGGTGGCCGTGTCAAAGAACAAGTGCAACCTGTGGTTAATAGGAATTTAAATAATAACACTAATAATAACAGGAGGAATGAAAGGAGGGGTTTTAAAGGGAGGAATCTTGAACCTAGAGAGGTCGATGATGTGCCCCAAAAACCTCTAGAGAAAGTTTCCCTATTCGATTTCCTCGAAACTAAGCTGCCAGTTGCTGAAAGCGCCCCCAAAGGAATTGAAAAACCAGTACAACAATTTAATTATCAAAAAAGTAACTATGAACGTAAAAGCGACTATAAGAACGCGCCTAGGACTAGTAATAGCTATAGTAACGCACCAAGTAACGGTTACAATAATTTTCCTAAACCCCATGAGCCTTATAGCAACAAAAAAGAGTACCAGTACAATAATGGTTACAATAATTACACTAAACCAAATGAGCCTTATCACAAAAAAGACTTTGGTAACAAAGACTATGGTAACAAAGACTTTGGTAACAAAGACTATGGTAACAAAGACTTTGGTAACAAAGACTATGGTAACAAAGACTTTGGTAACAAAGACTATGGTAACAAAGACTTTGGTAACAAAGACTATGGTAACAAAGACTTTGGTAACAAAGACTATGGTAACAAAGACTTTGGTAACAAAGACTATGGTAACAAAGACTTTGGAGGCAAAGATTATGCAAACAATCAAAAGCGCGAACACAAACAACCAAAACCAGAATCTCATCAGCAGCAAAACCACTTTAACCCAAAGCCCCAGCAGGAGCAAAAAATTGAAAAAAACTTGAACGATATAGCGGGAAATATGTCGAGATTATCGCTGGGAAATAGCAATTTCGCCAGCAAAATTATAAGGCAGCAACTGAATATTGCGCCTAATAAAAAACCCGAAGAAAATTTAGTTGCAAATAATCAGGAATCTGGGGAATTACTCGCAGTTGGTAACGAGTGTTTGGCGAAATATTGGGAAGACGGAAAAGTAAGTTATTCAATCATTCTATGCGTTAAAATTGCCCGAGCGTTTTATTATCTACCGGATGCCAAATACGTTGTTATAAATCCAATTTTACGTGATTTTAATAAAATAAATTTAAAGACCAATACTTAATTGTCTGTTAATATGTTTAAATATAAAAAAAGAAAAATGCAGTTATTTTTTTTAGTTTTATAACGCCGTAATTACAGCAATAACACCAAAGACCTATGTGGTCAAGTTCAGAGGTTATGATAATATAGAAGAAATTCTGAAAAAGGATTGTCAAGCAATAAACAAAAATAATAGGAGGAATGATAGAAATGAAAAATACTCAGGGGGTAATTTTTGTACAATTTTTTTATAGTATATTTATTTTTCTAACGTTTTTTTTCAATTTCAGGTTCCATGGAATTTCATAGAGGTCGCAAAATTTATAGCAAAAATTAACTTATTTTTATTTAATATTTATTAAATTTACCATTGCTTTATTTTATACTAATAAGGGAAATAAAAACTGATATTACTAAAATGCCTTTTATTTCTATGGTTTAAAATTATTTATGACCGTATTTTATAAAATTTATTATATATTTTAACTATTTTTAACTACATACGTATAATCATATTGATGTTTAAACAAAAAAATCGTTAATAAATTTCTGCGCATTTAGAATCTTTCATCAATTAATAGCAATTAAAATAGCTCTTTGAAAAAATCTGTTGTATGTTGCAATCAGGAACTTGAAAAGATACTTAAATTCATCATTAATTATAATTATGTATGGTTTGTGTTTGGATATTATAATTTTACCTACCTTGTTTAAAATATGGTTTATTTTCAATAAGTTTTAAATAAATTATTTGATGCGTGCGTGCAAAAGACGCAAATTTATTAATAAATTAAACAATATTTTTGTCAATGCGTGTATTTTTAGAAATTCTCAGGGAACATTTTTGTATTCTAAAGCCCTGCTTTTTAACGCAGGCTTAAAACAGTGCATTTTTAACTCGCCATCTAGTACGTAGCGTTAAAAGTACAAATTACACTTAAAAATGGTGGGAATAATTCGCACAGTGAGATAAGTTTAACAATGGTAGAAGAAATTCGCACAGTGGGATGAATTTATAAGTGATGGAACAAATTCGCACAGTAGGAAAAATGTTAAAATGGGAGGACAAATTCGCACAGTAAAATAAATTTTAAGAATTTCTAGTTTTAATATTTTTTAAAATGATCAAAATATTAAAAATTTCATAAATTTTCAAAAATAATTAAAAATTCTATAAATCCCAGAATTTTAAAATTAAAAAAAAACAAATTTTTTTTAATTTCAAAATATTAAAATTTAAAAAAAAATCACAACTATAAAAAATTTCAAAAAGATCAGAAGTTATCGTGAATGTGATTGTTTGGTTTATATACCAAACAATCACATTCACGATAACTTTTGATCTTTTTGAAATTTTTTATAGTTGTGATTTTTTTTTAAATTTTGTGTGGGATGAATTTAAAAATGGGAGGACAAATTCGCACAGTAGGAAAAATTTAAAAATGGAAGAACAAATTTAAATTTAAAGTTTTAAAAATTGTAAAAGACAAATTCGCACGGGGAGATGCATTTTAAAAGTGTAGAATAAATTCGCACAGTGAGATGAATTAAAAAATGGAAGGACAAATTCGCACAGTGGGATAAAGTTTTAAAAATCCAAAAAATTATCAAACTTTAAAAATTTTGAAAAAATTAAATTCTTTTAAAAATAATCAAAATTTTTAAAGTTATCGTGAATGTGATTGTTGGGTTTATGGCACAAAAAAACCGCGGGTTTTTAAAATATTATAATTACATAATATTTTTAAATAAAATTGGAATGAATTTAAAAATGGTAGGACAAATTCGCACAGTAGGATAAAGTTTCTAAAAATTTAAAAATTCTAGTTTTAAAAATTTAAAAAATTATAAAAATTCCAATTTTTCTTTTAAATTAAAAAATTCCCAAAATAATCGTAAATGTGATTACATATTGTGATTGTTGGGTTCATGGCACAAAAAATGCCTGTATAAAATTAATAATTTTAAAAATATTAGCAATTTTTAAAGAAAACGTCATGGGCATGTTTTTAGACATTTTAGGATATTTTTTTAAGTATATAAGGTTTAAATAAAAAGTAATATATAGAAATGAAAAAAATCTATACCTACAAACATTATCGTGTACAATTAACAGTTTTTACTTAAAAGAATTAAAAACAAATTATCGACGTTTTACTACGGCTTTCTTGTTTATTACTGTGTTATGTTATGTTATGTGAGTTCGCTCCTAATCTATTTTAATTAAATTAAAATTATCAGCGACCATTACAAGGAGGAGGGGGGGGGAGACACACAGGACTTGGACGTTCGCTCGAAGCGAAATCGAACTCGACGTTCATAAATAATTATTTTCGAATCGCGATGCCCGACATAGAGAGCGCGGATATTTCGCTTATTAACGCGAACGGCTTTTCGTTGCCAAGATTGCACGCAAGAAAAGCCTCGCAAGTTTCCATGTCCAGCGTTTCCAGCACCTTTTCCGACTCCAGCGACGATCTGATGCCGCTTTCCAGAAGGGGGGTCGCAGGATAATGCCTTCATCAAGACCGATATTGCGGTGAGTCAAGTTTTTGAGAAAGGATACCAAACATTGTTTTAGCAAATTTTAGTGTTTTGTTTTATTCTTAAAATTTTATATAGGGTGAGTTTTAAGTTGACGCGTTCCTTTTAACAGTGTGTAGAAATCAGCTAGACAAATAAATATTTTAAGTAACTTTTTTATCAAAACTCAAAAATAAAAAAGTTATAGCCCATCAAAGTTTAATTAAATTTTAAGCCGGTCCTGGCTATTGTTAACGAAAAACATAACCATAAAAATATCAAAATTAACAATGCAAAATGTCATATTTGACAACAAACATAACCATTTAAATCAAATTGACATTTTGCAATAAAAAATGTCATTAAGTTGCAGAATTTGCATTTTGACGACACTCTCCATAAATTAGTAACATTTCCACTAATTCATTATTGCTATAATTATGAACCATTTTTAACAATAATTGAGGCACAAAAAAAGACATTTTTCATAGCTAAATGTCATTTTGATTTAAAAGGTTATGTTTGTTGTCATAGATGACATTTTGCATTGTTTATTTTGTTATTTTTATTTTTATGGTTATGTTTTTTGTTAACAATAGCCAGGACCGGCTCAAAATTTAATTAAACTTGGAAGGCCTATAACTCTCTTATTTTTGAGTTTTGATAAAAAAGTTACTTAAAATATTTATTTGTTTATCTGATTTCTACACGCTGTTAAAAAGAACGCGTCAACTTAAAAGTCACCCTGTATAAAGAGTTTAGGTTGATGCAATTTTTTACTTGTCCAGGTTTTTAAAAACAAGACTTTGGATGATAATTTTTAAAATTGTCGTATTCTTGTTTGCATACCCATATAAAATTTTATAGTACTTAATTATTTTAATTTTGAGGAAAGATGTGATAATTTGTTCTGGCGGTACATTGCAGGAAAAGGGGTAAGGCACCTCCCCTTTTCTACTTAATGCATAAATAGCGATAGGTACCAACTTCCAAAAACAAAATTTACTTTGTCATTTTATTACATATGATTTCTTAAGCAGCCAATCTTCAAACTGATTTTATAATTATTTTTTATTGTAATACTAAAGGCACTATACCTACACTATATTGTAAGTTACAATTTGTAACACAGGAACGTAAAAAATAGGATTTAAAAGCGACAGTTGTTGATGTTGGTTTCCATGGTAACGCTTTTGCTTTTGACAGTTGCTTTGACATTTCTTAATGCAGTGTTATTTAAAACCTTAAAATGACTTGTAAAAACGAATAATTACAGTTCATTCTTTTTATCTGGACTCGTGTTTTTTGTTGGGTTGGTGGCTTATGCCAGTTTGACTTAGTATTTTTATTATTTAAAAATGGTACTTCTGTTAATGAATTTAATTAAATACTTTGACACTGTCAAATTGACAATAATATTTATTATTGATAATTTACTTGTTAATTATAAATAAAAAGATAATTATGCCAAATGCCACAATGGAAGAAAAAGTACATCGCCTTATGGACATTTTTGGAGTAAAAAAGTAACGAATTTGGTTTTATAAATATTACATCACACATTATTTTCACATTATTCACCATTGGACAACATTTACGTTCACAAAAAATTTTAATTTCTTTTATATAAATTCTTTTCAAAGCGAAGATTATCATCCGCTAGGAATACTTTCTCTTTTGGGCCGTAAAGCAACCTATATTTAACTACTTTTTTTATATGATTTTACTCATCCAAGCACCACCAAAGCCAAATTAATTGCATTTTTAACTACGAATCCTAGGCTACGAATTTCGACAACTCAACTTGACAACTGCACAATGTAACCTACAATAATTTATACATAACCACAATTAGATTTATAACTAGCTTAGTTGGTTTTAATCAGTGCGACCAACTTGACAACTGTATTTACCAACCAAAACCCTGAATTTGCAACGTTGTCGCAGTCCAGATAAAAAAAAGAACTTTATGTTGTTTTTAAAACGAACTAATATTTTGTTTAATAAATCTTTAAAATTTTAAACCTATAAATTATGATATTTATAGATGTAAAGTGTAAGCATACATACATATATATATAATATATATTTGAAAATAATTTTTTCACTTAAAGCAGGTTCAAGGGTAAATATAAATAAAAACAAACTTTTTCAAATGCACCAATTTGTCAAGTAAAAACTATTTAATTTCTGTAAACAAATACATTTATATTTTTTATTACAATAATATCCAATAACAAGTAATACAATATTAACGATACTTGTTTAATAATATTTCTTTTAATAACACAACATTTCCATTTTGGAAACATTTCGAACAACAATTGATTGATTATTAAATTTCGGCACGCCAAAAATGGTTAAAATATTTCGATAACCTTACGTTTTTATTTAATTGTTGCCTTACCATGTTTGGTGGTGTTTATAAACAATTATTTCAGTTTAAATACCCTTTGTGAATTCATACAAATTAAGTTAGTTGTATTGGTTCCAACATAATAATATTTATTTCGATAAAATCTGCGAAATATCGCTTTCTCAGATCAAAGTATGTGTATTAATAACAAAATCCCAGAAATATTAAATTAGACTTTCCAAAATCAATACAGTATTTAAATTTAAGAATTAAATACAAAATTCGTTTATCAAAACTGTTGAAGTAATTAAAATAAATAAGGTCATATTTTTAAAATTACTTTTGATAAACATATAAATAAGAATTTGTTTACACAACGTCTGCACATGCGCGTTTAAATTAATTCGAAAAAGGGTCATTTCATATAGAATCTCTCAATATTTTTTTAATTATAGTTTAAGTAATAACACTATTTTACAAAATCGAAAAAAAATTCTGCCCACCATATCCCATTAGAATTTTCCCATGTATTTTGAATTGTTTTTTTTTCAATTTTCGGAGGTATTTTGACGATTTTAATAACTTAACAAATTGAGGTCGAAAATTTACATATCGTCCTGGGGAGGGTTTAAATCAAACAGATAACTCCAGTTTGAATTTTTTTCGTGAAGCTGACATTTTTACAAAAAAAACAAGCTAATGTTGATAAAATTACATGGAAAAATGGCGAAGTTATGAATTTTTTAGTGGAAGACCAAAATTCAGCTTTTTTACGATTTTTATTTTATTTCTTTCTTTTATTTTGTGATATGTTTATTCTTTAATGAAAACCTAAGTAAAGTGCATGATTCGAATTTTTTGAGTTTTTTACGTACTTTTTTCACCGAAAACATTATTCAAAATTTAAATTTGACATGACTCCGCAAACGTGAATTCAAGTTTGATAAACGCCATTTTAATTAAATGAGTGTCTAGAAAAGTTTCTACGACAAATACTTATTATCTAAAAATGATTTAAATTAAATTTTTTAAATGTTAATCGAAATGTATCCCTTGAAAATGGACTAACCAACGTTTAAATCCGATATAGAATCAGTTTATTACAGTAAAAGTGAAAAAAATGTTTTATGTTTTAAATCTAGTTTAAAAGGTGCATTTAAAATTTTCAAATATTGCCGTTGAGAAACTAATTAATACTTTTGTATTTTTTTATTGGGATAATAAAATAATTTCCACATTTATTATTTATTATTATTATTATTTATTATTATTTAGTATTATTTTACAAGAAAGGCACTTTATTTTAATGATTGTATGACATTGGACAACTGTCAACCAACTTAAAACTAACTTAACACTGACAACTTTTCAATGTGTATTTAAAAAGTCACTTACTGTCGTGGAAACTTGTACGATAATGGGCTTTGTAAAGGTGAGTGTAGAAAAAAACCCTCTAATAGACTATAATAAAAATAAAAAAAACATGCCTTATAATTTATTATCATAATAACACTCACCTTATATACCAACTGTACTATAAGGTTTATTTAGTTAAACTGCGGACAATTGTAATCTTTATTTGGTTTTGGGTTTGCATAGTTTTATTAAGGTTATGATAAGATTTTTTGTTAAAAAACATTATTTCTGTGTGATTGCTTTGAGATGTTATGATCGGGTATTTTTGTAGTTTAATTAAATTTCCTATAAATGTAAGTTCACCAACAGTTGCCGTCTTGGTCTAGGTACCTAAAGATATTATATACATACTATACAGGGTGTCCCAGAACTAGCGCCACAGAAAAGGTAATAGGCAATCCCAATACATGGCCATAGTGAATTCTTTAAATTGCTATAGGATACTTGGCATGCATTGTTAATATTATAATAGGTAAAATATTTGGTCGACTAGAATCCACTTCATTATGACACTGCTATCAATTTTTATTCCTGTCATTATTTATCATTTTAAGCCCTTTTCTCTATGGCGCGAGTTCTATGTATAGTTGAGTTGATTAGTATATTTACTTAATCTGTAGTCTATGTTTATGTCCACTGCCACTAAGTAATAAAACTGTTATTTTTTGAAATATACTCCCTAAATGCTCAATATCTTTTTATTATTTAGAAAACAAATTAAATTATTTTTTTATTTCTTTTTTGCTTTTAGAATTTAACATTAAGAAGATGTAGATCGATGTCCGACAGTACGAAAAAAACAATAACCGAAGAAAATATCGATTTATTTCCGAATTTACCAGAAGCACTTTTGGAGGAAATGGGGTTAAGAGGTAACTCAACTAGGTATGAATTATAACATAAAAAATAAAATTAATACAGGATAATAAAAAATATTAATTTTTTTTCTATAGTAATTAGTTTATCCACAATTATTAAAAAATCTTAAATGATGCTAAGAAATAATTTTGTAGATTAAATGTACTACAAAAAATTTTCTGCCTCTAAAAGTATTTGTAACAATTTTATTATTCCGGTAAAAACTTTCTTAAAAAGCCATGCAGCTATTCGTAAACACCGTCTAATCTTATTTGATCGCTTATTGCCATTGGTTGTTTAAACTTGTTTTGTGACGTTCCTATAAAATTGTTACGTAAAAAAGCGAAATTTTAGCGAAAGAAATTAATGCATGTTTTTTATGAATGAAAATAATGACCATTTCACGAAAACGGATATGTTGTAATAATGTTTTGTTTTTATACATACAGTTGTATACAAAACTAAATGTACAAATTATTTATTTTTGTCCCTTTTTTTAAAACTTATTGTGCTAAGGTTAAGGTTAGTTTTCCAGCCTCATTGTTATACAAAACTATTGAAAATTATTTTAAAAATATGCACACATAAAAAAATAAAATCTACAATCTAATTTTATTTTTTTTTGTTTACAATTTATCTGAAAAATCAGTGAAATAAATATTTGTGTAACTCCTCAATTAATAACAACTTTTAATAATAGATTAAGACGAATCTAAGGTCAAAAATAAATATTATTATTATAATAATGTATCCAATAATTAAATTTATAAATATCGGAAAAAATAATAAGCGAAATCCTGCCATGTCAACGTTGTTAAGAAAATTTCGCTTAATTTATGGCAATTAATCTAATTACATTACATGCTGCATTCATTACAAAGCACTTTGTTCATATAGTTTTTGTAATCAAGAAAAAAATGCCACATGTGATACATAATAAATAAAATTATAAATGACTATGTATATTAGGGTGTTCGTTATTTCCCCTTTGGATTTTTGCACTTGTTAAAAAAATATTTCTCTTCTAAACTTTGACCTCCGGTATCATTTAAATAGATAGTATTACGAAAAAACGTAGGGACATTTTTTGCAAAGCATAACATTTTCAACAAAAATAGGTCTTGCATATTTTTTCATGTCTATTTATTAGCGAGATATAAATGTTTTCTTATTTAGTTTTTTTTTTAATGTTTTTAAAATGTAAAGAAATAATTTAGATGATGCCCAAGTGAAAGGGGCACCCTAATATATATGTATAAATAAAAAATAAACAAATTAAAAATTACATAACTATTTTAATAATTTATAACGGATATCCCGTAAAAATTGATAAAAGAAACCAATATCAATAGAAAACATCAATTTTTGCATAAATTATTAAAAAGTCTGACCAAAGTCACACAATGTAAAAAATTAAATTGTTTAAATAATGCTATACCAAATAAGTTGTCATTCCTTAAGACAGTTTTTTCTCATTATTTTTGCATTAGTGTAGTTTTTTTAATAAAAAAATCAATAAAATTGTAAACATTGCAAAATATGCACAGTGGGCAATAATCTACACAATTAAAATTTGTTTTATCATTGATTACTTTGTTGATAATTGTTTTTTGTTTTGCATGCTCATGTAGCTAATTTTTCAAGTGTTCCACAAAATACACTGCTCATAAAGTTAATTTTTTTTATCTGGACTGCGGCAACGTTGCAAATTTAGGGTTTTGGTTGGTAAATACAGTTGTCAAGTTGGTCGCATTGATTAAAACAAACTAAGCTAGTTATAAATCTAATTGTGGTTATGTATAAATTATTGTAGGTTACGTTGTGCAGTTGTCAAGTTGAGTTGTCGAAATTCGTAGTTAAAAATGCAATTAATTTGGCTTTGGTGGTGCTTGGATGAGTAAAATCATATAAAAAAAAGTAGTTAAATATAGGTTGCTTTACGGCCCAGAAGAGAAAGTATTCCTAGCGGATAATAATCTTCGCTTTGAAAAGAATTTATATAAAAGAAATTAAAATTTTTTGTGAACGTAAATGTTGTCCAATGGTGAATAATGTGTGATGTAATATTTATAAAACCAAATTCGTTACTTTTTACTCCAAAAATGTCCATAAGGCGATGCACTTTTTCTTCCATTGTGGCATTTGGCATAATTTCATCAAAATGAATTTTGCCCTCAAAAGGGCTTTTACATTCGAATTCTTGTCTATTATTTTTGGCATAATTATCTTTTTATTTATAATCGACAAGTAAATTATCAATAATAAATATTGTCAATTTGACAGTGTCAAAGTATTTAATTAAATTCCTTAAATACGAGTCCAGATAAAAAAAATGAACTGTACCTTTCTTTTTTTTTTGCTTGGATGAATAATATTATTTTTTTGGAGGTAAAAACAATGATGATATATAGGATAGGTCAGTAATATCCAGTGGCTCCCTGATTTTGTCAAAAAAAATTCTTAATTTTTATATTAAAAAACAGTATCTCTAATGTAAAAGTGATAGAGGAAAAAGCCCCAAAATGATGACAATTAATTTGGTGACCCTGTATTTCCAAGAATAACTACTGTCACAGTAGAAATTTGGCCAAAAATAAATATTTTATTTGGCCAAATTAAAGTTAAATTAATGAAAAACATTTTAGCAGTTTTTCCGAGGAGGAGCAAGAACAGAAATTCACGAGGCTTTCGCTGGCCTTTAGTATAGACTCGACTTCGATAAACGACAGATTTGAAAGGCAAAAAAGGCAGAGAGATCAGACAGAGCACAATTTGATGGTGGAGTTGGAAAAATTGACGCACAAAATCAACAAGATGAAGTATTTGTGCGTAGATTTCGAGACTACGGAGCTATTGACCGCGCTTTTGACCCAAGTAAGTTTACACGAATTATAACACAGTACGACGGTATTTGATTTTTTCCCTCCCATGAAAAGTTCCTATAGATTTTGAAAATAGACTTTAAACTTAAGTGCCATTCAATAAAATGTTATCCTCGGTATTCGGCACATAATATAACAGCTTCGATAACAGATTTTAAGAAAAATTTATTCACTGAATAAAATTATTTATTTATTTTAAAATTATTTTAATTATATACAGGGTGTTGCACATTTACGAAATACGGGTGTTTTACGTTCGTGGTCCAAAAGTTTCTGATGAACGGCAAAAGATATATATCGATATCGATTTGAAATTTGTAAAGCGTTTATTAATCAATTAAGCCTATTTTAATAAAATATTTTAAACAATATATTTTGTTTATTTTTATTTATTTATTTATTTTACACTATAGTATAGCTAGCAAAACAGTTCTTCAGAATTGGTACCGCCAAGTCTATGTTAATTTGAGTTAATTCTTCCAATATTCTATTCCATTATTTAATCCTTTTTTTAATTAGCATTTATACCTTTCCATTTTAAAAAAACTTTACTTCCAAATATCTTCATTTTATTTTTTAGACCATAAATTTTAATTAATATTTCTGACATCGATGACATAGAACACCCCATATATTTTTACATTTTGAAATTCTACATACAATTTTATACCTAAAGTGAATAGTTATTACTTTTTTTCGTTAAAATTTGACAAATGCACGTCAATCAAAAATAGCCTATAACTTTTTTGCTATTAGGTTTGCCGAAATGAGGCTGTAATTTTTGGAATCTTAAAATATTGTTTAAAATATTCCATGTCAATTCTTTAACATTTTTTTAACAAGAAAACCCAGGGAAAATTAGGCTAACTTGAAACGTTAATAACTTTTTTATTTTAAATGAAACACCCTGTATGTTTTTACATATATTATAATATAATATAATATAATATAATATAATATTATTATATGATATTATCACGAGAACTATGAATTTAATCGGTTAAACTAGGCTCAGTAGTTTTTTGTTTGGTTTTTCTTGGAAAATGTTGAATGCAAAATAATTTAATAAAATCACGAGACCGCGTAGCGGTCGAGGGGTTTTATTTTTAATTATTTTGCATGAAACTATTTTCCAAAAAGAAAAATCAAATAAAAAACTTACTGAGCATAGTTTTACAGATTAAATTTATACGTTGAGTGATATACGTCTAGATTATTTCTCGAATTAAAGGAAACTATTTGACAATTCATAAAATCTGACGTATGTGTCAAAATTTATAAATATTTTTTTAAAGAAAATTCCATTAATTTAAGGTATGTAATAAGTAATAATTGATATTTCGTAAACTAGATAACTTATTTTTTATTGTTTTTTAAAAAATGTTTGTTAAAACTTGTAAATAGCACCATAAAATCGTAAACAAAAATCCAATATGGAGGCTAAAATTTAATCGCTGTTAAATAGTTCTAGTGATTTAATCGCTTATTTAAACGAAATTTATTCGAAAATTTAAGGCATTTCGATTGATGTAATTGTTAAATATCTCTGAAATTATGTATATGAAATGGTATAGTAATTTTACTAAGAATTTTAAGTAGAATTTAAAAATGTAAAAATATATGGGGTGTTATATTTGAAATAACAAAGTTCCGGTCAAACCGCAAGTGAAATTTTGTTCAAAATATTTAAAAAAAATAGATCGCTTTTAAATTTCAAATCGATATTTTTTTCCGTTCCCCAGAAACTTCCAATGGACCACGAATGTAAAACACTAAAAATTAAGGTTTTTTTAGATTCTAAAACAATCTATAATCGCCAAACTAAAAGATCAAGATTTGTTTCCAACATATATTTAATATAAGATAAATACAAATCTCTTGTTTTATTAAAAAAAATCAAAAACTAAAACCAGACATATTTTTTTTATTTAAAAAAATTAAAATTGTTATTTTCTTTGAGTATAATTTTTGTATTATTTAAAAACATAAAATATTCGAAGAAAAAAATAGAGAATTAAAAATCTGTTTAGTTTAAAATAATAAGAATGGCTGTGTAGAAAATTTAAATGACGTGATTTCGTGAAACGGAGAGTTTTTAACCTTTATTTTTAAAATCTATTAAAATTTTTCATGGGAGGAAAATCGTGTTGAACTGTGTTGCAGTGTTATACAGGGTGTCCCAGAACTCGCGCCACTAGAAGAAACGCGTAATTTTTAAGTTAATTAGTAAATCTGTACTCAAGTGAACTGGCTTAATGACCATTGTGCCTCTAACTATTGGAAATACGAAAAAAAAACTGTCAATCTGTCAAAAGTTTTGCCACGTTGTGATTTGAGATTATTTATCGTAGTATTGGTGGATTGCCAGTGGCAATCCACCAATACTCCGAAATTTTCCACAGTCCCGAAAAAAATGATAATTATCACGTTATAAGGGTGTTTTCTTCTTACTTTGCCACTGTAACACCCGAAACGAAAAATCATGTAATTGTTTTATTATTATACCTTACAGATTGATTAGTGATTAGTAAAAGTAACGTTATGGTGGTAATGATTTAAAATACTAACTAATATCTGAGCATGGGACTAATTTGATATGTGTTTTTCTTGATTAAAAACTGTAACACCCGAAACGTTTCGGGTGTTACAACTTTTTTCATATATCGATATATGTGTGTGTATTGCTTGAAGAATGCAATAAGTATTATTTTTAAGGCTCTTTTGTTACTGCCCTATTTGTTACCAACTATGTATGTACTACCTAGGTACTAAAAAAACACCGAATTTGTCCATATAAAGTGTTTAATTTTTGTATTTGTAAAACCCGAAACAGAACCATGGTAACACACGAAACAAAGTAAAATTTTATAAAAAATTATTCAAAAGTTATTTGTGACAGTGATTATGTGGTAGATGGTTAGTAAATATTATAATTTTGGAGGCCTGTAATTTTTAGGAATGTTTCCCTAAGAAAATTCGCTGAATTTCAAATAAATGTAGGATATAGAGGCAGAAACGTGAAACACCCGAAACGCACACTTTTTGACTTATAAAATCGTTATCCTATATGCTAAACTGCACTAATTTTACAATTTAGATCAAATAACTAAAAACGAAGATAATAGGGCACTTTAATTGATAAAATGTTATTTCAAAATACAAAAACATAAGCTTTGGTTGAACAAATGTAACACCCGAAACGATGGAATACCCTTTGCGTTTCTTTTTTCTGTGGAGCAAGTTCTGGGAAACCCTATACTATATAAGCGATTTAAAAAAAAATTTTAAGGTAGACATTGTCACAAAAGCAACATACTTGGCGAGCATATCTGCCGAACGTTACGGAGCAGTCCAATACGAAAACCGATTATCCGAGTCGGTAAACCTAATGATAGCCCACGTTAACACCCTAAAGCAACACAGGGACGCCGCCAGAAGACAACTGCAATACACCAAGTAAAAAAAACAATACGTTGAAAACAAAAATTTCTTATTTTTGTTGTAGAAGAGTCATACAGGAAACAAACTACGAGGCCGAAAACAACAACAACAACAACAACGATGAAAAAGTCAAATCGGCCCCTAAAAACAACATTTTGGTCGTGAAAAATACCGTAATAAGACGTGCCAGCATAGCAAACATATCTCAAGCAACAGACAAATTAATGGAAAACAAAAAAATGAAAAGGAGAAAGTCGGATTTGTACCTAGGAACTGCCCCAGCGCCAAACAGACCCAGCAGATTAACAGAGTAACAAATTGGCATTTCTACTTACTATTATTCATTCATAACATTTTTAATTTGCAGGCTAGGTGGAGATTTAGTCAAAATATCCGAAGGTGAACCGATTTCTGACAAAAACACTGATGAACAACTTTTAAATGATGACGATCCCACTTCTGATGATATAATTTGTTTCCAAGTCAAAGAACCTGCACCTACAAATTTAAGGTACGTTTTTTTTATAATTTAATAAATATATAATTAACACAGTGTATATTTTTTATTTCAGGCAAAAAATTCTCTACAAAATAAAAAACCTACAGCTAAATATGGAGAGAAAATACACCCAATGGATAAACTACAGTTCCACAGATAATTATTATTTTGCCGCACTCATATGCTTTACTTTCAGTCTAATTATTTTATTAAGCGTTTGGATCGAAATTGAAATGACCAGAACATTGTACAATACTTAAAATAAAATAAATATTTATTTAGTTAATTTATTTATGTATAACAATTCCAAGTTATTTAAAATGGTTAAGTACATGAAAACAGTTCCAAGAACCTAAAAAACAAAACAGATAATTATTAAATTATTTTTTATCCACCATCTACATTTAAAAAAGTCAGGTTTAAACCGTTTGACAGATGTCAGATTGAAAAAAAGTGAGGTTAATTCTGACATGTATCAGATTGGTAAAAAGTGAGGTTAAAAACGCTAAAAATGTCAAATAAAATTTGTGTTCATCCTATATATCAGTAGGGTACAAGTTTCAGAGAGGTATAATAATAGTATATTATTATACGATAAATAATGCGCATAATCTCGATTGTAATAATATACATTATCTACTCCAATAAGTAAATAATTTTCAAAAATAAATAAAATCTGACATCTGTCAAATGGTTATTAACCATTGGTTAACCTTACATTTTACCAATTTTAAATGTTATTATAGTTGCCTTCTCCCAATTTTAAACCCGATTAATTCAAATAACAGTGAATATTGAAATCGGCCAATTACTAACCCCTAACAACGTAAATAATGAGTTCATTATTCCCGTTGTTAGGCTGGAAATTTATGTTTATCATTATTCACGGAAAAAACAATATTATGCAATAGGAGTAGATAATAGTATATTATGTATGAAGTTTTATAATCGCCATTTTAGTTACGAGTAAGCTTGCGAGCGAGTGTTTAATGAAAACGAATGTCTAGGGAAGTTAATAATACTTTATCTATGACGAACACAGAAAATTTTATTTGTTAAAAATTTGAGATCTGTCAAATGTCAACGGATTTAACATCTAAAATGGCTAAAAGCAACTGTTGCCAACTTCAGCCCGTGACTAAAACGCCATAAAGTCACTATCGCAGATTATCAATGGGGAAGTAAAATATAAAATATAGGTACCAATAAAATTGACTTACACTAAAAAATAGTTCACAATTCATATAAAACATACTTTTTGCAGAAAATTTTACACCACTTTCAAGTAAATGTATATTATACAAACACATCTAAAAAAATGATTTTTAATAAAGATACAATTTCCAAAATTTTAAATTAAACGTTTATTAATTTACAACTTTACGAGGTGTGTTCAGAAAATATCGGAAATTTTCGTTTTTTGAAACAAATATTTATTTATTCGTCTACATTAATGTTTTCGCCTTCAAAATAGTCCCCATTGGATATTATGCACATGTGCCAGCTCTTCTTCCAATACTCGAAACACTTCTAAAACTCGATCTTTGGGATAGCCTTTAGTTCTTTCAGCGATGCGCTTTTAATGTCATCTATGCTTGCCAAACGACGGCCCTTTAAGGTTCTTTTTATTTTTGGGAATAGGAAAAAGTCAGACAGAGGCATGCCTGGCGAATATGAAGGCTGGGGCATCATTACAGTATTGTTTTTGGCCAAAAATTTTGTTCAAAATTTAAAAATTTAAGAACAAATTTTGCTGCCACGCGTTTCATACCCAAACATTCGAAAAAATTTCATGGGATGAGCCAATCGATATACCAACATCATCAGCGACTTCTCTGATGGTGTATAACCATTTCTTCCACTTTTTCCATGTTTTTATCGGTTGTTAATGCGCTTGTGCGTTCGGGGCGTTCGTCATCTTCAACGTCTTCACGGCCATCTTGGAAACTCTTATACCACTTGTTAACTCTTGTTTTACTTATAGCAGACTCACTATAGGCCTTTGTTAACATTTCACAGAATTTATTTCATTTTTTAAGCAAAATTGGATACAAATTCTTTAATCCATTTCTTTTAACGAACGAAAAATCGCCGAGATCATAAAACACGTCCAACCTTAGCGGCTGCCACAGACAAAGTAAAGAATGAAAACAGCTAAAGTTTTTATCATACTTCGGGGGCATGTATACCAACATAATAAATAAAATTTTATGACAACCGGACCTTCCGAAGCCGCGAAATTTAACAATTCCCGTTATTTTCTGAACACACCTCGTATTGTTTATTTTTCTGTTACCTTTCTTGTAAAAACATTTCTTTTCTCGATTTTTTTGCCATTATAATTCTCGTTTATACAACAAACGAAATTTTCGCTGGTATTTTTAACATTTTGGCAAGTCATACAGAACGTTCCCAGATGTAAAACTTGCAAAAAACTCCAAGTGAAACTTAAATAATAAGAAACCAGGATATGGTCACTTTTGCCTTTGTAAATACTTAAGTATATAAATTTATAGGAGTTGTATATTAACCATGTAAAGCTATTTACAGTAATAATAAGAAAGAATATCTCGTTTGACTGGTTGATTTTTCTTGCTAAGGTCGTGGTTTTGTGGTATAAAATTATAAGAGTTTGCAATTCTTGAAGTTTGCATGTTTTGGCCTTTTTGTTTAGGGTTTGTAGCAGGATTTTTAGGTGTAATAAAGTGTGCATTTTTTGGAATATAATTTTCAAAACCAATATTTCACTCACTGAAAATCCCAATGAGTCCTGCCATATGCCCCTTCTATAATCCTGTTGTAATAATACAGAACATATAAAACATACAAACATTATTTCGTAGAAATATACTTTTTGTTCCACCATTTTTTTATAAAAACTCGACGTCATTTTAAGATCCCTCCAGATAGTTACAACTGCTTGCAAATTTTTGACATTATGTTTTTTATTTTTAAACGTTAAATAATAGTTCAACAAAATAAAGGTGTGGAGGCAAAACGAACAAAACACGTAAATATATCGTATAATAATTCTCGAGGTAAAATAATTTATCAGCTTGGGAATGGTGGGAAACAAAAACAAACACTCGAAAAACACAATCCTCAAGAAAATAAAAACCTTCGATTTTACTTCCTTGTAGCAAATTTCGTCGTTTTCCTTCTCAATCAAAAACGGACTTATCCCGAAAAATCTATCGATGCAGTGCGATAATTTAAACCAAACGCTGCTCTTTGGACTGAAAAATTTCATGATTCACCGTGCCATTAAACTATCGCAATTGGAAATTAAATTTTACGTGTAAAGGATTTAATTAAATATAAATTAATCACTTATGTTATGCAACGCGATAAAACATAGATGTATGAAATTAATGACATTGTTTTAATTAAATTAATGATTTGACAAATACAATAATTCCTTTGTGCGTGGAAAAGGATTAAGATTTATATACAGGGTATTCCAATGATGACAAATCAACTCTAGTTATTTCAATTTATATTTAACATACTTAAGTATAGATATAAATTAAAATAACTAGAGTTGATTTGTCATCATTGGAAGACCCTGTATATAAAACTTAATGTAAACAAATCAACTTTCAATAGAGGTAATTTGGGTTAAATTTAACCGGACACTCTGTATAGACTTTATTGATTTATAATATTTAAAGAGGTTGTTTATTAAATTGCGCCCTAACACCAACCACGCGTCAAAATATCAAAACTTTAATCCATTATTATAATAGCTGTGCAAATTATAACTTATTTTTGAAACCCCATTCAAAGATTGTTTACTATCCTTTTATATAAATAAATAGTAAAGTTTTAAAAACTTGAAAACTGCTAATTTATTTTTGATAATAGTAGGATTACACAGAATGAATTAAATGCATCAAAGAAAACGATTTTATTAAAAAAAACAACCTATATTCGAAAAAATTTGTCTTAGCTAGGTAATAAAAAATAAATAAACAAAATGGGCAATAAATTATTTTCAATGATTTTGTTTACCTTAAATTTGCAATTTTTTCTCAAAAATGCATTTTAAGAGAGAAATAAAAACGTCCATCGTTTGATCATCTTCTAAAACAACATCAAAAGTATCCAAATAGTGTGGAAGGGCTTCTTCTTTCTAAAATAAATAATTATATTAGCAAAATAAAATGTTATGTAAGGGTAAAAGTCTAAAAACGTGTTTCTATGGTACGCCGTTTTAGCATTTATTAGATAAAAGTTTAAAGATTAAAGTTTAGAACTTAAATTATGTTTTAACAGAAATTTATAAAGTTAACTTAAAACAATTGATAGTCAAAAAATATTTTAAATATAAAATGCAACAGTAAAGATTTATGTTTAAAAATATTGATTTTTTAAAGTTTTGGTTGTAATATTTTATTCTACAAAATTATTAGTTTAAATTTTTAAAGAGTCATTTAAATTATAGTTGATTGAATTTTTGAATTTTTAATACAAAAATTCTCACATTATATTAAATGTAAGTTTTAAATTTATCGACTATTAAATGACTCTTTACAAATTTAAACCAAAATTTTCTATTTTTAACAATTTTAAAGTGATATATTTTTAAGGCAAAATTTATAACTTTACATTTAAATGTAAGTCGATAATTTTAAAATTACAAAGTGTAAACGTAGCTTTAGTAGAAGGCACAAGAGTCTGGGATCGGAGCCACGATGCAGCCAGTTTGATCCGTTGATGTTTTTTAATTGTCGAATTAATTAATTAAATTTATGTAATAAAGAAACATTTCATTACAATAATTTGTAAAACGCGTCAAATATTTATGGAGCAAGCACGATTTGGCAACACTGCGGATAAAATCGTGGCTCCGATCCCAGACTCTTGTGCCTTGTACTAAAGCTACGTTTACACTTTGTAATTTAAAAATAATTGACTTACATTTAAATGTAAAGTTATAAATTTTGTCTTAAAAATGTATCAATTTAAAATTGTTAAAAATAAAAGTTATTGGTTTAAATTTGTAAAGAGTCATTTAAATGGTAGTCGATAAATTTTTAATGCAAAAATTACCACTTTAAAATTTAAAACTATCATTTAAATGACTCTTTACAAATTCAAACCAATAATTTTGAAGAATAAAATATTAAAATTCCATTTTTAAAAATTAATATTTTTAAACTTAAACTTTTACAGTTGCATTTTATATTTAAAATATTTTTCGATTATCAATAGTTTTCAGTTTACAAAAATTTTACTTTTTAAACTATTTTGGTAGAAAATGTTTTATATGTTTTTTTTTATTTTAAATGGCTTGATACTATTTTTTAATACTAAAAGATTTAACTTTACCAAATTAATCTCAATAATTTTATAAAATATTTATTTAAGTTAACACAATGCCACCCAAATAAATTATACTTGGAAAATTATTTTTATTAACAAATGAAATTTAGAAATTTTTGCAATAATTTATAGAAAATAATATTGTTTAATACAGAAGTGAACTGTTGGTTAGTAAATTTTGTCTTTCAATACATGATAGTTGAAAATATTATAAATTTATAAATGTAAACCTAAAATTTTTAGTTAGGAAAATTTTAAACCAATAAAATTTTAAATTAAAAAATTATTTAATAAATGTTAAAACGGCGTGCCATATGTTTCTCATTCCAGCAAAATGTTTATTATTATTTTATCCTATTTTAATTATGTTATAACGGGAAAAAATTGCGTAATTACAACACTATTAAAATTAAATTTGAAAATTGAAAGAAATATTTGAGACTTATACCAATCGTTACCTATAACCTTGTAATTCCTCGGAATTTAAAAAAGTAAATTTTACATGTAAACAAGTTTTCATCAAGCCATGTAAAATTCCAATATGGCGGCCACAGGAAAAACAAAAGATGGTGGTGGTATCTCAAAATCCAGTAGGCGAAAAAAATCGCAAATTGGATGAAAATGTAGATAAATGAGTATGTTTACAAGTAAAACTTACTTTTTTTTCAAAATTCCCGGGAATAACGAAGTTATAACGATTTTTGGTTTTGTCAGGTTTTCAGTTCTTTTAAATTATTCGGGGAACCACCTATTTTTTGTGCAATTTTTAAATGCCATTTTAATGGCAAATTGTAAATTTTTATATTTTTAACAAGTTAATAAACATTTTTATTCTTTAATTAAATGTCAAATAAAAATCATTTCACTGGAATTACCCCAAGCTTTAATTTTTTCAAGCAAGTCATACACATTCAAGAAGTCTACCAATAACAAAAAACAATACCCTTTCATATAGAAATCCGATTTTTAAAACGTTATTCACATGCGTGATGCCTTCGGCCATTTTAGCGTCTCCTATGGAATCTCCGAGCAAAATAACGTTAGTCCTATCGATAATACAGTTGTAAAATTCAGTATTCTTGATGGCGTACTCGTTTTTATTGAAGACGTGTATAGCAGGGGCTGTAAAACCCTCTATAACCCCTTCAGAATTGTACTTTAGGAAATTAGAAACAATCTAAAATATCTTAAATTAAATTATTGTTGTGTAATGTTTAATATTATTTAATACCTTTACGTTAGGTAAAAGAACATCTTTTTGATTTAAAACAAGTTTAACAATATCACCCAAACCAGCTGAAAAAACTAAAACAGGTACTTCTTCTTGGTGAAGCATATCAAAAGCAATATTTGTACCATCTCTTTAAAAAAATATATATTAATAATGGAACAGTGATTAATATTGAATATTTTACCTTAATGAGGGACCAAGTTGTTTGCACACAACCTCCATTTCCTTTGGGGACACAACCAAACCTCTAAAAACATAATAAATAGTTTGTTTAAAAATTGAAGCTATGTAGTGTGGCCTTACCTTAATGCATTTTCGGATTGACCCCACCACTCCTCCATTAATTGGTACTTCTCCTTAAGGGGTATATGAGGATCCATTTCCATTGGATAGTATTTCTTGTTCAAACCATCCACAGTCTTGACAAACTCATCTGTCAGCGAAGGGCACTTTTCGAAGATACCTACAAAAAACAAAACTGAACAAAACAGTTTTTATGCAGATTATCCGCATACCGAAGCTGCTCAGGTGGGTTTTGCCGTTGTCATGTTGTTTTGTTATTGTTTTGTCAAAATCAGAGAGCACTTGCAATTTAGAGGGCCCGTCTTCGATTATCTGTTTGAGAATTTCGTTGAATTTGTCCGGATTATTGATGTGAACGTGCTTCTTGTTTAGCTGGGGAATTTTGCCGATCAAGTCCATTTTGTTTGTGCAATATTTGCAAGAAAATAGTCCGGGGTAACCTAAAAATTTTGACATTCACATAGAGATCCATAGTTTTCAGTACAGCCAACGGAATATTTTTGGGACCCCAGGGTGTTTTGAATCATCAACATCGCTAAAACAACGAACGTTGTTTAATAAAACAAAGTTATATTCTTGTGTGTTATGAGATTGTAAATTTTATATATTTTCTATCTAGACTCCTTGGACTTTATGAGAAAATTGTTTTTTGAAGGGATTTATGTTGGTTAACTTGTTGATTAAAATGTCAAATGGCGGTGTATTCAAAATAAATATTGTTTTTTGTATTGAATTTTAGCGTTATTTTTATACTGTAATTGTAAGTACTCAGGCCCGGTTTTTCAATCTCAGATAAACTTAAGATTACCTTATGTTATGTCAAAAAAAAGTTTTTTAATTTAACCGTAAAGCGGTATTCGCACAGTGGGATAAATCTAAAAAATGTCAGGACAAATTTGCACAGTGGCATACATTACACAAAATAAGTTAAAAATTTGTCTTAATAAAAAATAAATAAACAATATGTTCAACAAATAATTTTTAATGATTGCCGTAAAAAAATAAGTACAATTTGGTTTACAATTAATTTATTTTTTCTTGAAAATGCATTTTAATAGAGAAATAAAGACCTCCATTGTTTGATCATCTTCTAAAACAACATCATAAGCATCCAAATAGTTTGGAAGGGCTTCTTCTTTCTAAAATAAATAAATAAATAAGCAAAATAAAATGTTATGTAAGCTAAAAACGTGTTTCTTATAAAGAGTTATTCCTGCAATATATTTAAACAATACCCTTTCATATAGAAATCCGATTTTTAAAACGTTTTTCACATGTGGGATGCCTTCAGCCATTTTAGCATCTCCTATGGAATCACCAAGCAAAATAACATTAGTTTTATCGATAATACAGTTGTAAAATTCAGCATTCTCAATGATGTACTCGTTTTTATTATAAATGTGTATAGGAGGAGCTGTAAAGCCCTCTATAACACCTTCAGAATTAAACTTTAAAAAATTAGAAACAATCTAAAATATCTTAAATTAAATTATTGTTGTGTAATTTTAAATATGTTCTAATACCTTTATGTTAGGTAAAAGTACTTCTTTTTGATTTAAAACGAGTTTAACAATGTCTCCCAGACCAGCTGAGAAAACTAAAACAGGAACTTCTTCTTTGTAAAGCATATCAAAAGCAATATTCATACCTTCCCTTCAAAAAAATATTGTATTTATAATTAAACAGTGAACAATATTAAATAGTTACCTTAGAGTGGGTCCAAGTTGCTTACACACAACCTCCAATTCCTTTGGGCTCACAATTAAACCTCTAAAAACATAATAAATACAATGTGTTTTCAAATTGGAGCCATTGTAACCTTACTTAAATGCATTTTCGTTTAGATCCCACCACTCCTCCATTAATTGGTACTTCTCCTTAAGGGGTATATGGAGATCCATTTCCATTGGATAGTATTTCTTGTATAAACCATCTAGAGTCTTGCCAAGCTCATCTGTCAACGAAGGGCAATTTTTAATAATACCTACAAAAAACAAAACTAAACAAAACAATTTTTATGCAGATTATCTAAAGTTCATTTTTTTTATCTGGACTGCGGCAACGTTGCAAATTTAGGGTTTTGGTTGGTAAATACAGTTGTCAAGTTGGTCGCATTGATTAAAACAAACTAGTTATAAATCTAATTGTGCACATGGTTATGTATAAATTATTGTAGGTTACATTGTGCAGTTGTCAAGTTGAGTTGTCGAAATTCGTAGTTAAAAATGCAAATAATTTGGTTTTGGTGGTGCTTGGATAAGTAAAATCATATAAAAAAGTGCTTTACGGCCCAGAAAAGAAAGTATTCCTAGCGGATAATAATCTTCGCTTTGAAAAGAATTTATATAAAAGAAATTAAATTTTTTTGTGAACGTAAATGTTGTCCAATGGAAAATAATGTGTGATGTAATATTTATAAACCCAAATTCGTTACTTTTTTACTCCAAAAATGTCCATAAGGCGATGTACTTTTTCTTCCATTGTGGCATTTGGCATAATTTCATCAAAATGAAGTTTTGCCCTCAAAAGGGCTTTTACATTCGAATTCGCTGCTATTATTTTTGGCATAATTATCTTTTTATTTATAATTGACAAGTAAATTATCAAAAATAAATATTATTGTCAAAGTATTTAATTAAATTCTTTAGCAGAAGTACCATTTTTAAATACTAAAAATACCAAGTTAAACTGGCAGAAGCCACCAAACACGAGATAAAAAATAAAATTAACTGTACATACCGTAGCCGTTTAGGTGAGGTTTGCCTTTGTGATGTTGTTTTGTTATTGTTTTGCCAAAATCAGAGAGCACTTGCAATTTGGAGGGGCCGTCTTCGATTAGCTGTTGCAGAATTTTGTTGAATTTGTCCGGGTTATTGATGTGAACGTGTTTCTTGTTTAGCTGGGGAATTTTGCCTATCAAGTCCATTTTGTTTGTGCAGTATTTGCAGGAAAATAGTCCGGGGTAGCCTAAAAATTTTGACATTCACATAAAGATGTTTATAGTTTGTCTCTCTATAAACAATCTATGTTTCTTGGGATCAATAAAGTATTATTATTATATTATATTAGGTGTTTTCGCGGTGCTAATCCCGAACTAGCTCGGACATCCTAGGCAGGGCCGGCCCGACCTTTTTTGCCGCCCCGGGCGAAGATATTTTTGCCACCCCCATTTTATTCAGCAGGAATAGGAAAAAAGTAGTTTAACGTAATTATTTTTTTCAAATTTAAAAAATAAAATTATGTTTAATATAATTTTAATTCAATTAAAATTATTTGTAGTATAATTTTAATTCAATTAAAATGAAGTATAGTATAATTTTAATTTTGAAAATTAAAATTATGTGTGAATAATTTTGATTCTGGAATTAAAATTATATGCGCATAGTTCTAATTCACATAATAAAAATTATACTATACATCATCTTAATTGAATTAAAATTATGTACACATTATTTTAATACGCCCATTTAAAATTATACTCTACATAATTTTAAATCACGAATTAAAATTATACTCTACATAATTTTAATTCCAGAAATTAAAATGATGTTATACACCATTTTAATTCAAGCAATAAAAATTATATTCTACATCGTTTTAAATTTAGTTGAATTAACATTATTATATGAACAACATTGCAACTTATATTATAATATAAATTTATAAATAAAAATTAAAATATATTTGTACCTTTTAAAAAATAATTCATTGAATTAAAATTCAACATCAACACCTTTGCAATATGGAGTTATTTCTTGTAACATTTTATTTTCATACATTTATAATAATTTTTGACGATGAATTCAACATGTGCAAGGTATGTACCTATACAATATATTGTTTTAGAAAAATTAATCTAATTGTAATAAGGTATCATAAAAATTGAACCAAATTATTTAAAGATTAAAAAAATATGTAGACGAATTAAAAATAAATTAAAATTAATTTCACAAAGTTGGCAAGCCCTTTTACTATTTAATGTATTTTAAATTATATTTGTGTACAACTAAATTTTAAATAATCCATTATTTATCAAACATAATGAAAATTGTAACCATTTTAAATACGGTAAATTTTATATCCCTAGCCCAATTCTTTTTTTAATTGTATAAAAATTGTACATTAAATAGTAAAACGGCTTGCCATAAAACGTAATAGTGAGGGATAAATATACTCATATAGCAATAATCATACAATAATAATATTAACAATTTAAAAATTCACAATATTACGTTTAGTTAATTTGACTACAGATTTAGATAGATTAAATATTTATAACTAACCTTGTAGAATACACTAACAGCACCTTTAACAATGATTTTAGAACAATAACTTGATTTTACAATTTTACCAAAGAAAACGATCTCTAGACGAATTAAAAATAAATTAAAATTAATTTCACAAAGTTGGCAAGCCCTTTTACTATTTAATGTATTTTAAATTATATTTGTGTACAACTAAATTTTAAATAATCCATTATTTATCCAACATAATGAAAATTGTAACCATTTTAAATACGGTAAATTTTATATCCCTAGCCCAGTTCTTTTTTTAATTGTATAAAAATTGTACATTAAATAGTAAAACGGCTTGCCATAAAACGTAATAGTGAGGGATAAATATACTCATATAGCAATAATCATACAATAATAATATTAACAATTTAAAAATTCACAATATTACGTTTAGTTAATTTGTCTACAGATTTAGATAGATTAAATATTTAGAACTAACCTTGTAGAATACACTAACAGCACCTTTAACAATGATTTTAGAACAATAACTTGATTTTACAATTGCACTGAACCAAAAATCGACGTATATCCAATAAAAAAAAACGTTGTTTCAATAAATTTTTTATTAAAATTTGTCCAACGTAACTAATTATTGATATAATAAAGCACATTTAATAAAATAATTACTTCATTCATTGGCTAACATTTATTTCGTTGATTTATAAATCCCGTTTAATGGTTAATATAACTTTTTCATTGTTAATATAATTGGATGTAATTGGTACAACGAACAATGTTGGTCTACAGAACTTGAAGTTTTATTATGGTACCAAATATATTTATTGATTCAGTGTATCATATACATTACTTAACTACTGACTTTATTGATATTATTGTGATAGTCATTAATTTTTTTTATTAATATGATAAAAGTATTTATAAATTCAACGTAGGAAGTAATCAAATATATTTATTGATTTAGTGTATCATATACATTACTTAACTACTAACTTTATTGATATTATTATGATGTTTATTAATTTTTTTATTAATATGATAAACGTAGTTATTAATTCAACGTAGGAAGTAATCGACTTATAATCGAAATTATTAATATTATGAATTAGTTTAACGAATTATTTTTTGATAATAATTATTTTATTTGTTAAATAATAAATCTATTACATTTAATAAATTAACATATTTAATTAATTATAGGTGCAAATCAATTCCCTTTTTAGTTGGTAAAATAATTTACTTTAAAAATTATGTGCAATTTTTGTATAGCAATATACTTACCGGGGGTGAAGCGCAAGTATATACATGTTGCGCATAGACCTATAGGTCTATGCGCAACATGTGACAATGCACTTAATTTACACTTTTCTGTAATATGGAAGCTAGGTTATTAGATAAAGGACAAAATCTATAATGGAAATGAACGTAGTTTATTTTTCTTTTTATAAATTATACATTATACAAATAAACTTCTAAAAAAAACAAAATCAAATATAAATTGCACATTCATTCATTCATTCATAACTTAAAAATACATTTATACGGAAATACATTTGTGTTTAATTAAATTTAAAAATTTTCGTCTAAATTAACATTAGTCTTAAGAGCTTCCGCCAAAATATGCACTCTCGAAAATGACTCTTTAGTTTTCATTTCAAAAAAAAAACTGTCGATAAAATTCCAAAACATTAAACATTCCGATGCGAAATCTAAGTTAAACACATATGTTATTTTGTAGCAAATATCAACTGCTCGCAAAAAGTTCACAAAAGAATATTTAATTTCGTCAAAATATACGTATATCTCCTGAATATTTAAAATATCCTCCCCAATACATAAAATAAATGGTTGAATGCTTTTCTTAAAGGACTTTCTATGTGCCAGATGGTCTTCTATTTCTTGTGGACACTTCCCAATAAACAAAAATGACTCCTGCGAATCTTTAATTGTGTACTTTGTTGTGGATTTTTTCCCACTAATTGGATCATTTTTAATTACTTTATGGGTAGGAATCAAATAACCATGAATTGCCCATAAAATTAATGCATCTCGACTATCTATATGAATAATTACTATTAGTTTCACCTAAAAGTTGCTTTAAATTTACTTACTTTCGGTAAGTTTTCCCTTTTTAATTTCTTCCAGGAAGCCTTTTATTCCTTTATCTTTAATATGTCCCTCGCCAGACAGAAACGAAATAATTGTACTATGGAAAATTTTCCATTTATCCAAAAGAGCATTTCCAGTGTCAAATAGGATACTAAAATCCATATCAATCTAAAAATTAATAGGTATGTAGTAAATATTATTATTAAACTATTAGATAAATAACTAAAAATATTAATCCTACCAGTCGAAAACCTGAGGGTTTTTGATAAAAGGGCCATTTTTCTAAAACGGCTGCAGAAGATTCAAGTTCTTTTATTTGAGCCAAACGATATTGGCTACAAGCCCTCCAGCACCTGTCAAACTCTTCTGATGATAGGTTGTCATATGTTAAAACCCTTTTGCAACTTTCTGCATCACTTTCAGGCACTGAAAAAAAGAACAATTTAAGTAATTTAATTAAAAGATTTAGATTTTAGAGAAAACTTACCAAAAACCTTTTCATATCGAGGTTTTTTTTCATCTTTTTTCTTGGTTTTTGGAATTACATGATGCGAGACTACATTTTTAAATGATGACCGTAAATTGCAAAATTTGTTGTAAAGCTTACCACGCTTACCCGTTCGGTAATATTCCTGAAATTAATTAAGTTACATGTAACAAGTATTGAGTTTACAATGTAAAAAATCTTACTAATTTCTCATTGGGAAATCGCTCCAAAATTTCTTGTTCAAGTTGGAAGCTTGTTTTTAGGGACATGTGCTCATCTTTTTCGTCAAAAAACTGGGCAATAGTATTTATCAATAAAGCCCTTTGCTCATCTTGAAATTTGCCAAATTTATTATAGAAGGCTACAATCATTATTCCTTTTGGAGTTTCATTTAAAACAGTTGAAAGCATTATTCCGTTGCCTTTATCTGCAGTGGGCGATCTTTTGCCGTAGGGATCAAATCGTGATGACGAGGAGGCAATGGAGGAAGTTGGCGATGATGGCTTACTTGAAGAAAATGAAGTTTCTATATTTTGTGTGAAAGTAGTACCATCAAGAAGTGGAATTCCAATTGATTTTCTCCATTCCTCTAAGTTGTGTTCAAAGGTTATTTGTGTGCCAAGATCAAACTCTTTTAAAAGTTTTTCTAGATGACAACGTTTAATAACTTTTAAAACACAAACAAACACATTTTGAGCTAAAATATTTTATAGCTTAACAAAAAAGAATGCTTTAAAAACTTTAAATCAAATTACCTATGAAGTGATCCAGTAGCAATTCTTGTTTCCAGCTACCAAGGAGTAGTATTAGTTCTTCCCTCTGATTATCTGATTGAGGCAAATCGAGGGGCAAGTTCTCATTTCTGGAAAACAAGTTCGTGTATTCTATCCCATCGGCTTCATTTTGAGTAGATACATTGGTAGGCACCAGAGCTAATGGCGGACTTGGATAGTTTTGAACAGCTGAATTATGAACATAGTCTACCAATACTGATAATGGATTAAATTGATATATCGAGGAATTGGTCCCTTCTTCAACACTGTCGTTTTGCATATTTTCTAGTATAATGAGCCTTTTATTTCATTCCACAGATTAGTTAGATCCCTTAATCTATTGATAATTGAATATAATATT